AGTGCCAGTGAAGCTGAGACACAGTGGACCGAATGGGTTCTCAAGGTGCGGAACCACGACCTACACACGCTCTTCGACAGGCAGGGCCCGGGCGGTTCTCTACGAATCTGGGTGGGTGTCAAAGATCTTCTCACTTGGAGGCAGCAGTACATGCACGAGAAAGGTGTCTCGATGCAGGGAAACACCAAGAAGAAAGCGACGGACCAAGGACGTGGACAAGTACCGTCGGAGTTGTTGAGCAAGCACGGCACGGGAGCCAGCATGGGCTTCTCAGCAGTCGCTCAGGCTTCAGCCGTCAACGGCGAAGCTGTTTTCAGTGGCTTTCTTCTCGACGTGCTGGAGCTGCAGCCGGACACCGACATCGCGGAGGACGACATCAAGGCCGGTGCCGGTGGACCGGGCGTGGACAATCACAAGGACTCCCCCGTGCCCAGCCCTTCATGCTGTCGTCGGAGTCGCGCTCAAACGATTCAAAGAACTCCTTCTGCTTGCTGAGTTGCTCATAGGCCTTCTACTTGAACTGCTCGCACTGGTGCTTCACTGTTCGGATAGTGGATGACACCAACCTGTCACGATCAATCCAAATCCTTGGCTTCTTCGGAGCAGTTCAAAGGCGAGCTGGGCACGCTGCGTACGAGGCAGGAAACCCACAAAAACAAAAACCCACCCGAAAGCATAAAAATCCAACGTTGCAAAACCATAAAAAAACAGAAAAATCCAGCGTTGCAAAACCACAAAAACGAAAAATCTAACATTACAAAACACGAGAGGCCAAACATCCAAGTCTCCAAAACAAAGAATAAACGATCCAAGATTGCAAAACCACAAAAAAAACAAAAAAGCGAGACTGCAAAACCCACGAACCACACAATCGAACACTGCCTTGGCTCCTTTCCAGACCCCCATTCTCGGCTCGAGAATGGGGGTCTGGAAAGGGAGATTCGGAGGCTGCGAAACGGATCGAAGTGGAGCTTCACCCTAAGTACATATAATATCCAAACCGAAAGTAGGGGTGTAAAGGTTATGTTGTGCGGCAGCAGTGCCAGGTAGATGTTCCGAGTGTTGTGGTTGTTGTTGGGTTTTTGGGTTTCGGACTTTGGACCGTGGCTTTTGGATAGGATTTTGGACAACGGTTCGAGGGGTCTGAAGGGTCTGGGCTTCGGGCTTTGAGCTTTGGAGTTGTGGTTAAACCCTGAACCTTTAAGATCAAACCCGAACGAAGCTCTGGGCCCCCAGGCTGGAAGGCCTGCAAGTCTGCCTTCAAGATGAAGAGGTGCCGGTGAAGCAGTTCATTGGCAGGTTTGGACTTCCAGACTCTCCGGCGCCTCCCTGTGAAGATTACGACAAGCTCCAGCCCTTCCGCGTGTTCTTCAATGTCGTGGAGGAGTACAACAAGTGCCAGCAGCCAGAACAGAACTTGGATGCCGCAGATGTTCGCTTCGACTTCGGATTGGAGGTGGGCAAGATGTTCAGACGCGGCAGTGTTGTTGGCAAGGATGCTCTTGCAGCATGCGCCCAGCAGCAGATCCTGTTGTCTGTCTTTGGGATCGATGCAACGTATGACAAGGTCTCCTCAGAGTGTGCAGGCATGGCGTGTGTGAGATTGAATACCGTCGGCACCCGATGCGTCATGATCACATGTGCTGTTCAGCTTGTGGGCTACATGCAGCGGAAAGGAGTGGAGGGCGTCATCACAACCTCGAGAAGGCAGGCTTCTTCCGAAGCCTGGGGCTTGCTGCTATCGCCGACTTCAAAGCTTCCTGCTCCTTGGAAACGGCCACCATTGCAGAGTTATGCCACACGTGCAACATCGGTTTGAGGTGGCCAATCGTTGTTCACGGGAGCGTGAGCCCCAGCATTGGTTTGGCCTTCCAACGACGGCATGAAGAGTTGGAGAAGCTGAAAGGGATGACAGACAAGTAGACCTTGAAAGCGAGTTTGGCCAGTGAGGCTGAAGTGGTCGCTGCGATAATGGATGCTATGTCAAAAAAACATGATGACCCGACTGCTGACAGCGAAGCTGTTGTTGTTGAGCCGCCGGCGCGGGAATCGTCCGAGCCGAAAGAGTCAGAGAAGACTGAGTCTGAGTTGCCAGCGGCAGAGCCCAAAGAATCCTCGCCTGGCGGAGCCCCGGCCGAAGCATCGAATGCAGCAACACCGCCGCCAGAACAGGTGGGATAGGCACTCCATGTCCTGTGGATTGTAGATTTTAGAATCTTGCTTGATTCGAAACGTAGGGAGAACCTGCCAACTTTCGTGGCGGGACCGGGGATTGCTGCGCTGGCATTTGTGATGCAAACTGTGTTGTATAGTGTTGCTCGTTGTGCCATGCCCATATCCATTACTATATATGCTTCCCTGCACTTTTGCGTCGGATGTGCAGTGCAAGTCGGCTCTTTTCCACGTAGGTGCAGACAGGTTCTTGCGTGTCCAGCGTGAAATGCCCGATAAAGCCTAGCGCCCGGATTCAGCAGTGAATTGGCAGCATGGATGAGCTGGGCAAGCAAGAGCTTGACTCGACTTTTGCAGAACCATCGAAGAGACTACCAGTTTGCTGTCCCAGACAAGCAAAAGCCGCAGCATGCAACAGGACTAGCGCTGTCGGGAGTTGTGTGAATGACTTTGGATTGGCGCCCTGGCCAGGTACGGTGTCCAGCTGCAGATTCGGCCTGGAGTTCTCAGCAAAAAAGCTGGGAGCGATTGAGCACTGCGAGAAGTTTGAGCTGTAAATCGTGTGAGCATTATCAGACTGGCAAAGCTGGCAATGTAGCAGTAGTTGCAGGTCACTTGTTCATGCCATGTCAGTGGTCATACGGAGGATTGTGCTTGCTTGTGGATGCCTTGGGCACAGAGTGGCATCAAATCGAAGGCAGAACCAAACCGTGCAGAGATTGAGATTGCAACGACACCACGCTCGCAAATCTGAGTCTTTTTAGTGTAGGTTCTGTAGGGCTCTAAGCAGTGAGCGTCATGTCTCATGTTACCCAGTGCCGTGCATTCCTTGTGCATTCGATTTTTGTCAAGCTTTTGGGGCATGGCGCAGTTTTCCACAGAACTTCGCTTGAGAATTTTGAGAAGTTTTCCTATGAGATTTGCTGAACACAACTGCGTAGGATTTTTTTTGGAAATAATATCGTATCGTGCCGACGTTTTGGTGGACAGAGCAAACATGTCAGCCAGGATTGGGGTAAAGTCGTTGTTGGGAGTTCAAAGGCGAGCTTGGCACAGTGCGTAGGAGGCAAGAAACCACAAACCCAACAACCCACCCGAAAACCAAAAAAATCCAACGTTGCAAAACCCCAAAAGGCAAAAAATCCAACATTGCAAAACCCAAGAAACAAAAAATCCAAGAGTGCAAAACCCCAAAAAACAGATATCCGAAGCCCGATTGAAGCAACACATAGCGTATTGCAGACAATCAGCGGCGGACCATGGTGTTCGCAACATGTTTCTGACAGATCAGCCCCTGTTGTAGCTGATGGTGGCAATTTGAAAGCTGTTTCGAAACGCTTTTGGCGGAAGCTGTGTTTTGCAGGGTACAGGATGCACTAGGCCCAATCCTGGCCAATCCCAGGGGTGGCGGGGGTCCAGCATAGCGAGAACCTCTTTCTCTGATTTTAACAGTTGTGCCGTCGTTTCCAGTGGTGGCTTGAAAGGGGTGGTAGTGGGATGAGTTTGACTTGCACGCACGCGTTGGCGACGTGTTGCGTTAGTGTGTGTGCTCTTCAAACCCATGGTCCTGGTACAGTTGTGCGTACCTCTGTTGCGGGGCAAAAGCTCTTCTGAGTTTTTTGTTTCCATTAGGATTTTGAGTGTTCTTTTCTGGCAAACTAGGACATTCGTTTTCGGAGAAGCTGGAATCTGAGTGGTCTTTTCTCCGAAAGAATTGCACACCAAAGTTTCAAAAAAATTGTTTTGTCATCTTGATTTAATCTTTGATGCTGCATGCGAACCACGTTCAATGCATGGCAGCCACAGGGTCAAGTGGCGAGATTTCGAAGCTCCCACCCTCCCAACCCTGGTGATCGGCATACACACGGCAGTATTCGTTGGCTTCGTTGTGCTCGCCGAGGGCGCTACCACTCGGTGGTGCATATGCCCTTCACCGTGGATGCAAGTGTGAGTCCGTTGCATGTCAGTCATGAGTGTCCGAGCCAAGTTATTGGGAAATATATTGGATTGCATTTTTGCGACATATCCATTTATATGATTCGCTTTTGCGAGAACCTCTTTCTCTGATTTTAACAGTTGTGCCATCGTTTCCAGTGGTGGCCTGAAAGGGGTGGTGGTGGGATGGGTTTGACTTGCACGCACACCAGCATGCTTGTCATCCTCAAACTCCGTGGTGCATAGCCAGTTGCGGTGATCAGAGCCACACTGGTAGTACTCAGAAGTTCCTTTGCAATCAACTTCCTCTTTCGTGGAACCTGATAGCCAAGCTGGGGTGAGGGCCCGATGTTTGCAAGTTGTGCCGAGCCTGTTTGCCATCTGTCGGCAACAACTTGCAGCGGATGCAGAATCATCCCGAGTGATCCTGACAAGACTGCACATGTGCATGCATTAATCATTAATGTGACTGATGAGGTTTTTTGGGTAGTGCGGATTCACCAACAGATTCAGTGGGGTTCAGCCGGTTCAGCTTGCAACTGGCACAGCGAGGTGCGGCATGGTGTTCATGATCTGCAGTTCAGCAGTGTTTGGGTTGTGACCGGGTTGTGTTTGTCATGTGAGCATGCACGAAAGGCTGACAGTGGAGCATTCGGACCTGTGCAAAGCACAGTGTTTCGATAGCGGTGCCACCTGTGCACCACATGAGTCCACACATTATCGTAGTCAGCAACGTCTGCATGCTATCAAAGCGATTAGCTACACACACACACAAAGCAGTGACAGTGCTGACATAAAGCAATGAAAATGACAAAGCTTTTCAGCATAGTATTTGACACAGCATCCAAAGCCTCTGGACATTGGCATGGGTTGTTGCCAGGAGCCCACAAAACATGCCTGAGTTATGTCAAAACTTTGTCATTTGTATTTGTTATTTGTATGTGTTCCAGTTCCGAGGCGCGGGCACAACTGCCGGGTCCAGAAAAAAGCTGCCCGAGGCAAGGCAGACGAAAGGGAAGCATGCTGCATCCTAGAATCCTAACCATATCAAATGATGATCCACACAGTTGTTGCGGCTTGGGCAGGTTTCATGGCATTGCGGCCTTGGTTGCCATGGTCTGGAGGCAGCATGTTCTGCGCAAGATTGGACCAGGGCGCTAGGGATATCTGCAGGTCGAAGGCATTCCTCTCGACCGATATCTTGACCATTTCACCGGGCTGGGAAAGCAGGAGCAGCATGAGGCTTGTGGTGTTGAGGAGCAGAGATCATTGCTTGAGTTGATGTCGCTTTGCACACCGCAGGTGATAAGTCGTGTCATGCAAGAAGCAGAGCAAAGCACATCTTCCGGAGCCAAGGTCGTTAACTCAGTGTGTGTGGGCAGTCTCTCGTTTTGACCATGCACTTGCGATGATGTAGTGTCTCTCGCAATTTAGAGGCCGGAGTGTGCAACCGGAAGGTGGCACGGGCCAGAGACCAAGCTCTCGTTCAACAAATGTCCTCCTTCCTCACTATGGCCCTGATCAGATTGGCGTTCTGTCTTGGAACGTTGGTGGCATTAGCGACCACCGAAAGGACCAAGGAGCTGGCCTGGAAGAGGTCGGCTAGCAGTGATTGCCTTTGCAAGGTCTCGCTTTCCACCCGTGATGCCAGGAAGCGCAGGCAGCCGTTGCAGATGTTCTGCAGGCTGCGGCCGTGGACTTAGCATGCCTCAGAAGCAAGAACAAGCTCCGAATCTGTGCATGTCCGCTGCGTGGGCGGTGGACATCTTCATGAGCACTGTGACGACTTCAAGATTGCTGGGCAGATCTGGGAAGCATTTCGAGTGTTGGGAGACGTGGCAACTGGCCAGTCCAGCTTGGTTTGACGTACTCGTAGTCGCGTACTCGCAGGTCGATGTAAATCGTTGGCCCTCTGCATGTTTGTGACATCGACAGATGCAAGCTTCCAGTTTTTCATTGCAGCCCAGGTCGCCAAGCTGGGCGCAGCAGACGTGATAGTTGTTGGGCTGCAGGCCAGTGCGAGATTCACTTTTGTGTCAGCTCCGTCGTGTTGCGTGTTGCCACAGCACGCTGCTCGAAGGGCCCAGCGCCCCTGTCGCAGCAAGGCTTTTTGAACTGGCCGTTGCACTTCAGCTCAAGAGCTCAAGATTACAGCAACCGGCCCGATAGCACTTCAGCTGCCGAAGTTGTAGCAAGGGCTAACAGCTAACATGTCCGGAGACTTCACCGCGTCTGGAAATTCAGCGCTTACCAACTACATGAGAGCCAAGTCACCATGGCACCGAGCAGCCTGGCTCTTCGTTTGGCCTCCTACCTGCGTTGGTTCGCCATGCTTTCTCCTGGCATTCGCTTCGATCCAGGTGTGCAGGGCTTGGAAGCTGGCATCGTTCTTCCGTGTTCTTGATACACCGTCCTGCCGTACCTCCTGCCAGTCCTGCCTGGATCTCAGCATTTGAACATGAAGGTGCTGTCTTGGTCTCTCTCAGAGATGAGGCCGGCATCCCCAATCAAGTTTGGAATTGGCGAGGATGCCAGGCAGTGAGCATTCCAGGAGCATCTGTGCTTTTTGGAGCAGCAATGTGATGCAGGTGCGATACCAGGTTCTGGGAGAAAACAACACTGGGCCAAGTTGCAGGGGCCTCCACGGTGTGATTGTGGTGCTCGTAATGAGTCTTTGCATCTAAGGTCTCTTGCTCCACGGTTTGCTGGTCAACGCGACTTTTTTGCGAGATGTTAAGACTCGAAGCATGCGAAGCAACGCAGCAGACGAAGCGAAGAACGCCTCCTGAGGCGGATCATTGGCGTCGCAACTTGCCTGACTTGGCCAAGGCCTGGCTGCTCCGAGTCTGCAACGGAAGCCTGTTGAAATCTATGGTACAGAGTCCTGCGCGAGGCAGGGCTTCGTGTTTATGCACTGGACTTCCTGGGCAGCGGCTACACTGACCGGCTAGAGCCCTGCAGTCCTGAAGCTTGTCAGAATGACATCAAGTGTACCTTGCTTGATGCCTGATGCAACACGAACTTGACACTTTCAGGAAGCTGCTGCCGTAAACGGGGAGCGTCGAAGAAACTTGAGCGTCGTGGACACCGAGCTTCTTCGAGGTGGAGGTGGGCACTACGCGAAGACGCAAGCCACGAGGCCATGACTCATGTTCATGTTTGGTGGTTGCATGTCTCCAGGGCGCCGAGAAGTGGTTTCGGCAGCTTGGATGAGCAGGTTTGCTAATTGCCAGTAGCTGTTCCATTCACAGAACGCTTGAAGCTATCCTGTAGCCTCGGAAGTGCCTTATTGCCTTTTGGGTGCCGCCCAGGTCCCGCAGCGACATCCCCTCGGCTCCGTGCTTCTCGGCTCTGAGCTTCAGCAGTCTCTTCTGCCCCAAGCTTCGAACACTAGTCCACTAGTCCCATGATGCAAACGGTGTGGAGGTACAACATCTACACTTGGAGCGAGCAAGTCTGCGACTTCCTTGAGGAGGTTGTGAAAGAAGATGCCTTCCTGTGCCAGGGCTGCAGTCCATGAGTACGTCTGATCCTCAGACTGTTGGCTGTTTGATGCTGTTTGCATTTGAGTTTCCGAGGATTGGCAACTCTCTTGGCTCGCTGATTGGTTTCTTGTCGGGAAGGTTCAGAATTTGGTGAATCCTTTGCCGTCTCCCACGCAGGCTTGCAAGCGGCTATTGATCGCCCAGATCTTGCGCGCGGAGTCTTGCTGGTGAATCCTCGATTTCGACAGGAGCACGTGGCAGAGGCGGTCAAGCTTGTTCATGTCGCTTCGGGTGAGACGTCGGGAGCCGTTCTCCTGCTCAGAGAGGCTCCTGCCGTGATCAGGCCGACATTGTGTGGATAGTTTATGCTTCGACGGTGTCTCCGATGCACAGAATCTGCAGAGACTGCTGGCTTTCACCGCGAGGCCTTTCATTGAACTCGTGCAGAGCCTGCTGCGGGAAACGTTCGCGACTTGGCCTTTAAACTTTAAATGTTAGAACGGTGCTTTTCAATCATTGGGCAATCGTTGAATATGAGCAAGATAAGGTGGGCCGGTCTCTCTTCAACCTTTTAGCCAACAAGAACGCCGTGAAAGAAATTCTCAAAGAGCCGTATTACGACTCGTCCCAGGCGGGCCTGGCAGTGTGATTTCGTTTTATGTCATGATCACTCGCAGGTTTAGCGATGATACTTTTTATGCGAAGGTGACTGACGAACTGGTTGATGTTTTGCTGGAGCCCCTCTTGCTACAGGGTGCGCCGGAATCGGTTTTCGACGCTTGGTCTGGCCTTTCAGAAGCCCGCACAGAGGTAGCCTTCTAGGCTGACTTAAATGCGGCTGCGAAGCGAGGATACCTTTTCGTACTCCACGGGGCCGCTCCTGGAACAGCTCCTGCAGGACTGAGCAGACGCTACGTCGCCTTGCTGGTGTCGAAGTGGATTTCGACATGCAGGATTCTCGTTTGGCTGCTCCCGTTTGGGTGGCCCGGCAGCAGTTCTTGACTGGAACAGGGGAGTTTCTTGGGATGCGAGGCATGCTGGGGAGACAAAGATCCCTGGACTCCGCTGCAGCGCGCCTCGGCCCTGGGCGAACTTTCTTCGGTGAAGCGGTTGATCGAGTGCCTTGCCCGCAAGCAGCTCTCTGAGCTTTCCCCCACTTCGTTCCAGAAGGGTATCCCATATTTGCTGTTGCTCAGGTTTCCAGGAGTTGGGCACTGCCCTCATGACGAAGCACCCAATGCCGCAGAGCTGCACAGCAGTCAAGGACGCAAGGAGTGCCAGCAGTCGAGCCCCCTCCTTGCATCCAGGTGGTGAATGCGTTGATTCTAGAGTTCACCCGCAATGTTTCGAAAGCGTGGCCGGGAGAGCGGGGGAAAAAGATCGCATCATGCAGGGCCCGTAAAAAGGGACGACCTGGGACCTAGGGAGCCAGTTCGGACATCGAGTACCTGACAGGAGATCATCAGCTTGACGCCCTCCAATGCTATGAAGGGCACGAGCAGCTTCAAGGAATCTCGCGGCAGCCTTGGGACGATTCCCAGGTGGCGACCTTCTCGGCCCCGGCTGGCGGCTCTTACTCCGAGGCAAGAACCAGACCTTTTATGGCTGGCCGGAGACCGTGGCGCAATGGGTGGAGCTGCTCCTAGGCAGGGCACGGAGGGCACGGAGGGCACGGCACCGCCGCCTCTTGTGCTGCGACGACAGAGCAAAGACGGGAAGGCGCCCTGAACTCACGGCCTTTGCCAGCCGGAAAGAGTTTCTGCTCGACGCCCAGTGCTTCGCGTTGCGCAGTCGCAGTCGCAGTCTGGTGGTAACGGCTCCCAGTTGAGGCTCCTCTGACCACAGGGCTCGCCCCTCAAACCCTTCAGAAAAAACTGCTGTCGTCTGCTTGTTCTAGCGGCCTTGAGCTGTTTAGGCCTACGTGCTGTATGGCCAGCCTGTGTACCTGTTCGGCCTTCTGCTGTGCGCTCAGACAACTGTGCATGACCCTTCCGCCGACTTCGAAATTCGGTCAGGGAAAGCTTCAACACGATTCAACATCAACATTTCTGAACCTGGCCACGCCTCTCGTGCACCGAGGCTTTGTGTGTTTTGTCCAGCACACCTGCTGAAGCACATTCGTGACTTCGGCCTAGACCCCAAAAAAGCACGAGATTGATTGCATGGAGAGGGAGAGAGGGTTTTTTCCCCTTTTGCCGTTGAGAGGCATGGCAGAGAAGCCGATGGACCCCAGGATCAAATCAGGAAGGGGCGCTTCCGAAGAAAGCAGAAGCAACCCTTGTGGAGCAGCGCGCCTCCGCGCCTCCGCCTCCGGGAGGCTCCAAAGGCGCCGTCGCGTGCCGCTTCGTTCTCTGGGCTCGGGGCCGAGGCCCCCAGCCGCGCCGCGCGCAGCCGCGCCTCGAGACGGCCCGAGGACCGGAGCTTCTGCTTCCTGAACTGCCACTTGGCGGCGACCACCTCAAACTCAACCAGGCCAGGCCAGTTCGCGTTAGTGCAGAGTGCAGAGACGTAGAAGTGTTGTGCGACCTTGCATGCTGTTTTTTTTTCTTCTTTTTTGCGAGTTTTCACGGCGGATTGGGGCAGAGTGATGAGCCAGGTAGCGATGTTGGTAAACAAGAAACAGAGCAAATGACATCCCCTTTGCCCAGCTTGGGCCTGGCATTGCTGACTTGCAGGTATGGCTTGCGAGATCTGAAACAGCGCCTCCAGCAACTGGAGCAGTGCTGGACAGAGGCCGGAACTTGGGATCTGCGGCTTTCGGAAATGGATGCTCCTGCATGACGAATTACAGGCTAAGCCCCAAACGTGCATGTTGTGGGGGGCTATCGGTGTCCAGATCAAGTTCAAGTCGCTTGTGAACCAGATGGCTTGGACCTAAGACTGCCAAGAGAGATGAAGAGTTTTGCAGCCGAAAGCTTTGTGGCAAACCGAGGTGTATCCAGTTCCTGCTCACCGGGCGATTTTCCTGATGGGGGACGGGCACGGGCTTTATTGCCAGGGCTCAGAAGGGCTTAGCTGCCTCGGCCGCTGATTGTCGCGATCACGAGAGACCGTCCACGAAGCGCAGCCAAAACCAAGAATTGGGCTCTGTGCCCTCGGGTGATTGAAGCTTGAATCTGTTAACGCAATTAATTACTGTCGCTACCGTGATAGGGGTCAGCCCTGGCTAGGCTGTACTAACCACGAAATTTGCTTGCAAGCCGCTCTTTCTACGGAGCCTTGCTGTCAGGACACCAACATGAGGCTAGTCAACAGGGAGAGCAAGAAGGACAGAAGATCAAGGTTGATCTTGTCCCTCGCAGCGAATTTTCGGGGAAGCCGGGGCTCAGGACTTCCACGCTTATGCGTTGCAAGCCCTGAGTCGGCGAGTCAGCTTTGGCTTTCCTTGCGGTTTTGCGCTTCTCTCGTGAGTTGCTTTCAGAGAGATGCTTCCGAGGCAAGCCGGAAGGCTACAAGGAGCTGTGGAAGTTGGATCAGCTGAGCCAGGATGCAGAGGGGGTATGAAGGAAAGGGCCTGGGGCCTTGAAGTTGGGATGTGCCAAAGCACTCTCAGGAGATGGCGGACTCTCCCCAGCCGTCGCTCTTCCCGCAGAAGAGCCTCGGATGTCTCAGTGCAGGGCCCTTTGGAAGTCCGAATTCCTTGCGAGCCTTTTGTAGGAGATTCTCTTTCTGTCTCTCTCTCGCAGATTCAGGTTCCCCACGAACGCCTGCTGTCCCAGTGGCCGGCCTCCCTGTGCTCTGATGTGCTCTGTGGCCGGGGCGAGGCTGCCTGCAGTGTTGGCCCAGGCGTGAGCCCTTCTCCGACGCCCAGCAGGGCCCGCCCTTCCCTCCAACTTTCAAGCTCGCAGTGCCGCTGGGCAGCGCTTACAGGGGTAGTGGAGTCAGCCATTTCGAAGTACCCGCCACGCACCAGGCCAGGCCCCGGATTCAGCAAGAAGCGGGTGCCGGTCCGCAGCACAGAGTGGCGCACTCTCTCTCTCTCTCTCTGTTGGGACCTTGTGGGGGATTTGGAATTTGGAACCAAGAAGAGGCCTGGACAGATCGAGTCCTGTTCAGCGGAGAGCATGCGGAGTCCGTGCCCTGCCCTGCTCCACTGTGCCGCACCACCCAGTGTCTCTTTGCATATAGGCCTTTGAAGTATGGCTCCGTGGAGCAGATCCAGGCGCAAGTCGCTCTCGTCGGACTTGAACCTGGGCGCGGAGCACAGCGCAGCACGCTGTTTTCACCAGGTGCTCAACCCACCACACAACGTCTCGGATCATGACCCAGTGTGCGCTGGTGGCATCTGTTTAGGGTCGAGACATGTGATTCTGTGTGCTTTTGAATCCTTTGAAGCTGGCAGGTATGCGTTCTTCGAGGTGGAGTGCATGGCCATTCATCCGAGGAGCCTCGCTGGGAGCAAGACTTACTGCAAGAAAGGGTGCACAGCAGTTCCGAGGCGGCTCGGCACGCTGGCGCGGGAGGTGCGAAGCGCGACAAAGGAGCCGAGGCGGGGCAAAGTCTTTGATTCCAGCTCATGAAGCCACAAATGCGAGAAGCCTAGGCCTAAACCCTAAACATCCCTAAACCCTAAACCCTACTGCGTGGCCTTTCTGCTGCGAGGGAGGAGCCGCTCGCGCGAAGTCCAACCACGCAGTTGCAAGTGCTGCAGCAGGCCCGGCGCCCCCAGTTTCCGAAAGTAGGGGACCCTAGTATAGTACCCTAAATTATAGGACCCTTAGTATAAGGACCCCAAAATAAGCTACCTACCCTTAATTTCGGAAACTCCCAATCCATCATCGTCTGATCACCGTCAGAAGCATCAGTATCGTCATAATTAACATCCTTGTCATCTCCACTAATGGTACTATTACGGCTGCTTTTAGATTAAACTACAGTGTTATGGTCATTACTAGTTCACTTGTATGGTAGCAAAAATCCGTAAAGAAAAAAACTCGTCGTATGGTGGCACTATATATATATATATCTATTCGTAATGTATATGTATTCCGCCAGATAAATAGTACATACATGACCAAGTAAGGAAAAATAGACATATCGTCGTAGTATGTAGGTATGTAAGTATGTAAGTAAATAAGCAAGTAAGTCGAACCGGTAGTCAAGCAAGTCAGTCAATAAGTCAGTTGTATGCAAGCATGTAGGTATGTAAGTAACTGATACAGTGTTATACATATTCCGTTTGCCTTCTTGGTGGGGATGCTGGTGTGCCACAGTCATGTCAGTTTCAGCAAAGCTCTTGCTTGCAAACATTCTCGTCAATCGTCTTGAGGATCAAGCCTTTGGCGGTGGCATGCTGGCTACAAATCAGCCCGACATCGATGAGATTTCGAGGCCTTCAAGCTACATCTGCGGAGCTTGTTGTCATACCTCTTACAAGAAGAGCACGAAAGTTCACCTGTGCAGTTGGCCGTCTGACCCGGCACTAAATGAAATGACAGCCGCACTTGCAGGAAGCTGTACGAGCAAGTAACATCGCTGCGCTCCTACTGAGAGCAGTTTCAGCTCACTGCGCAACGCGCAGAGACTCAGCGGCTCAGCTTCTGCCTGCCTGCCCTGACGCGGCCCATGGCTCAAGTTTGCCTGTTTGCAATGTTGTCCCTGTGCCCACAAACTTGATGGCCCTTCTTGGCCTCGGGCCTCTGTTGGCTTTCTGCGTTGCCTCGTCCTCGATTCTGGCCGTTGCTGCCGATGAATGTGCGCGGAAAGATGAAAGCTGCAATCGAAGCGTAGATCATGAGGCCAGTTTTGTACAGGTAAGGAGAGAGCACTTGAGGAACGGCTCTTGTGCCGGCGACATCTTTACCACAGTTGCCAAGAACATTGGCGGCGGGACCCTGTCCGAACATCAGATTGCCACAACACTAGCGCATGGCTGCGATCCCACGACATCCAGCTACTCAAAGCATTGCCCAGAAGTGAAGGAGTTGCATACAAAGGCCTATGTCCATACACTTCAGAGGCTTAATCGTCTCCTCCTCAAGTTTGGGTCGGTGGCAGCGTCGTTCGATGACTTCAGCATGGTGTCGCTCTATAACTGCATCTGGCACAACCGTCACAACCCCGGCGACAACTTCGGAGACGAACCGTTCGACACATGCACTGAGGACCAGCTGTGTGCGATGATCACGACTGCAGAAGAATATGAGCACCAAATGCCCGAAGTTTCTCTCGAAGCATTGCGGAAGAGCCGCGTGCATCGTGAGTTTCGAGGGACGCATGCTGGATGGCCCGGAACAGGGAAGGATTTCCCGATGGTCCGGGTCTCTCTGCTACACAAATCTGATGGGACGGCAGCAGCCCCTGAAACCATTCTGGGGCGGGGTGGCTTGCGGCTCTCTGCGGTGAGTGGAGGATGGGCGAAACAGTCCACTCTTCACCTCCAGCCAAAATATTCAGAGGGCTTCCAGATCGCTTGGGGAAAGATACGTGATGGGATGCTTCCAGACGAGGCCCTTGGAGGGCCTTGTGCCGACCTGAACGTAGATAGCACGAAGCAGCCTTTCTAGAAGCTCTCTCCTTACTTTCCTGTGACCCCCAGGAAGTTTTGGTTTGCTTTCCCTGCAGGTGCTCGGAGGGCCTCCGCTCCATTTGGAAAGTGGGTTGGTCGCGGCTGAGCCGGGGAGCCTGGTCCGGAACTTCTCGGATACCCCGGTTGCCGCGAAGATGCCTCCGGCTGCCGGAAGTCCCATCACCCTTCTGGTGATCGGCGACCCCTGCAATGGTAACATGTTTGGTGGCGGCCAGTGCGTCTTTCGTGACTACTATGGAGTGAACAAGACACTCCCAACTCTTTTGAATGCTGCCTTGCCCAGCACCGACGTTTGGTACTTGACAGGTGGGCCGGATCAAGACCCCAAATGTGAGGGATGTTTTTTTTTTCAAATTGAGGGGCCTGTAACTTGGAACTGCAGGTGACAACTTCTACGACCGCTACGGCGTGTTCTCCGTGAGCATATTTGCGCAGCTTGAACCCGCTGCACAGGGTGTGCCGTTGCTGTCGACGCCTGGGAATCACGACTACTGGTTTGAGGGGGTTCCAGAGTTCGCACTGGACGACTCCTTCCTGGGCTACGACCAGTTCGGATTTGGTGGGGCGCAGTTCTACGCCATGGACACCGCGGCCTCCTGGGCTCCCCAGGCACCCTCGGAGGAGTTGATCTCACCCAAAGGCCGCCCGGCCTCGCAATTCTCGCAGGCTCCGGCCTTTTTGGATCTCTCCGGGAAACCGAAGGATGATGCCAAGGCCGCGAACTTCCAACACTACAGCATCGCCGGCAACGTCGGTTTTATCGTCATCACCTGCGTCGGGGGAGATCCCCGGCCCTTTGTGAAAGAGGCATGCGCCTTCATGAAGCAGAAGAACCCTGACTTGGTCTTGCTTCTTGGCCATTGGAACAAGCCAGGCAGTGGCTGCACCACCGGCTGGGATGTGCCGAATGTCACAGCCTGGGCACTGGATCACTCAGACTGTGCGGCTTTTCGGGGTGAGTCAGGTGAGGCACCGTATGGCCCGGAAGGAAAAGCAGCGACACGCATGAAGTTCATTGTTGGTCATCAGCACTGCAACTGCATGACCAACTTTGCTGAAACCTTGAAGGACGGCTGCTTGGATGACCATACAGATCCCTCCAAAGTTGACGGCTTCATAATTGGCTCACATGGGATGAGCTGGGATCCGCAGCACTATCCAAAATGCAGCTCGCGTTTTGGCTTGCCCGTGCTTCGCACAGATGGAGGCAGACTGACTTTCGCGTATGCAAAGCTGTCACTGGATACATGGCTGACACACTGCAAGCCCTGGGAAATATTCTGCAAAGACAGGCCAGGTGAAGTGTCACGAACAGATATGTGGAAGTCTTGGTTCACATTTACGCCGTCGCATTGGTCACCCAGGGCCGCAGGCCCCTATGGAAAGGGCATCCTCCGAGAAAAGATGGATGGCCTTGTGGCGTGCCTGAGAGAGAAAGGTACTACCGAATGCTCAAAGGATGCCTCGCTCTTTGACCAGTGGTACTCCCACGCCTTGCAGTAGCTGAGACGCTGAGCAGACCCTTCGGCCGAGAACTTTTAAGAGTGGCCTCCTGGGGGCTCGGCAGCGTAGCGACCGCTTTCATGGATTTCACTTTGGACATAAGCTCCGTGATGTTCCATGCTGTGAGTCAACAGACAGGTTCGTCGTCTGCAAGCAGTCTGCTGAACCCTAAACAGTCGAGCCACAAAAACCGGGTTCCTCCAAGTCTCGCACTCGCCTCAAGGCTGAATGACACGGGCCAGTCTGCTCTGGCATGCCTCATGCTGCAGGAGTGTCAAGAGGTGGGCCGTTGCAAGTCCAACAAAAAACTTCAGATTCCGCAAGCCGTTTCGACAGGAATGTTGGAAAGCACTTTGTGCGCAATTGGAGCACAAGCGGATTTCTTAGTGTATCATTTTGCGTCAGATGTGGTCGCTTCAGCTGAACGGCTCTATCGGAGTGCCAACAAGGTTGGGATGCTCCATCCGCGCATGTCTCAGATATGGGCAGGAGCTTTGCATCTCGAATTTCCCCAAGTGTGAAGATATACTGAGGCCACATAGCGTCTAGCAACTCCTCCACTTACCCAGACCTTATGGATGAGGAGTGTCACTGAGAGCTCTCCCGCTCTGCTTCACAGCAAGGGTGCATCGCCGCGGGTGCAGGAGGAAGAGGAAGTGGTCAAACGACTGGACTCCGAAGCCTTGCGAGAAGGTCTCAGAGAGGCCGCCCATCTAAGTGCCATGCGAGCACAGAGCACAAGTGATGAAGCGAGTCGCGAGCGACAAGTCGAGGTCTTGAACTCCATGCAGCGGGATCTTCCGAACTCGCGGCCTGTGACGCTGCTCGAAAGGAGGATGGTCACGTCAAGGCCGGGATTCGGCACGGGCGGCCGCGGGACTTGTGGTGTTTCGGCTGTGCTGCGCTGGCGCTGCTCTTTCGTCGGCCAGTGACAGGAAGAGCTCCGATAACTCCTTGCTGAGCTTGTGAAACCGGTGAGTATTCAGAAGCCTATACAGCCGGCTTCCGGTATGCTTTGTCCCGTGACAGCGGCCAGAGCCAGAGTGCTTCTGGCCAGCACGAGAAGTGGCTTTCTGAGAGCGACTTGCTTGTCGTGCAGGGAGATGTGGCAAGTTTGGATGCTTTCCAGGTTCGATGAAGGGTTCAGAGAGGACGGGATAGCATGCTCGCTACGGTCGCTACGCTTGTCATGTGAAGAGGCTGTAGATTTTCCTGTTGACAGCCCTGGTGCCAATGCATCAAAAAGCTGCCTGGGCTTCAGTCTTTTGTCAATTTCTCGGTACAGAGAAAACAGTGACAGTGCTTCACTCAGTCCGAGCCCCCCAAGCTGATGCCCAGGCTGTGTCCAGAGAGGCACTTGGGTGCCTTTCGGCGGTTTAACTTCTGTTTTGCTTGGATCTAGTGTTTACATGTGTTTACTTATGTCCGCAGCACACAAAGTGACTGTGTCGGGCATACTACCTCCTGCTGTGTTGTGACGCTACAGATGCGAAGCAATGCTTCCGACAGAAATTGACAACTATACGAGGCGGAAAGGGTGGCCCAAGGCACCCCTAGTTTAAGCATAGCCGCGTGGCTTGCTCCACAGTCGACTTGGAGAAAGAGTCCGAGAAGCCTCGAACCAGGGTCTTCGGTGCAGCCAGCTGCCACTGATTGCTTAGAGGTCGTGTGGCCGCAGCCAAATGCTGGCTTAGGTTATGCTTGATCGGTCGCATGATGTCGCGCGCAGATGCGCTCACCAAAGGCATGTAGTCGACATTTGGCACGGAGGGTGCCAACAGCATGTACCTCACAGACAGCACCTTCCACTCTTCCCAGAAGCCGCTAAGTTTTGTAAGACCGTCATCCGGATAACTGCAGAGAGGATAAGCCTCGGATAAGCACACAGCTGTTGCTGTCAGCTACGCCTTCTGCGCGGAGCTCAGAGGTCCGGAGGCGCTTTGCCTTTTCCTACATGAGCCTGAGCATCTGAGCATCTCCACTACCACCGGAGGACATGGAAGGTCGCGCTCCTGTGCGGGTGCCGGTGCTCTATCTGCAGCGCATTGCAGCGCAGTTGAGAGACTCCACACCGTTGCCTTTTGTCCTGACCGAGTCTTCGCCGTACAGAAGCGCGTCTGGCATGGTGAGAGCCCTGGTTTTTGAGCCTTGCGGCTGTCAGCTGCCTGCGCCCTCCGCCATGTCCGCTAGGCTAGTACACTGGGGACTGGAGCGAACAGGCTGAGGCACCTCTTGCTGTTTGGCACGACCATGACTATGACTTACACAGCATGACCAGATTTAAGTTCTTTCAGCAACAATCTGGAATGGAGGATCTGTATCTTCAAGACTGATCTGGGTAAGCGAAGCCCTTGCTGTTCAGTAGCTCCCTGCGGGGCCCGGGAGGTCTGCGAGCCCTTCCAGACGAGCTCTGGCCATTGCACCAACCCCGGTCCCAGCGAAGCCCAGCGGAGCCTTCGTCGTTCGTGCGCTTTGTCAGGACATGCGGCGAATCGCCAGCTTGCTTCGCCGCATAGCCCAGTCCAAGGCTCAGAGGCTCAGCAGTTCTCGAGAAGAAGTGTCTCTGAGGTGACCCAGCTGGGGCTCTGCAAGGCAACGGGGAGATGCTCGGCTTGGAGTGGTCTTCTGTTGCTCTTGAATGTTGCGCTTGAGTTCGAAGGGCATTGAGGGTTCTGTGCTCCAGCCCGGCTTCTTCAGAGCATCTTCAGGGAGCTGTGACGGTCTTGGGCCAAACGACATCTTGAAGATGAAAACATATAGTGCCAAGCTCCCGACTGGGAGAGGAGGAGGAGGAGGAGGAGCAAGCCACGCCCCAAAGTCAACTAGCCTCATGGAGCCTCCTCAACTTGGCGGACCCAGAAATTGTTGAACTCTGAATATGTTGCAGCAGCACTTCGTCGAGGCCTGTCTGGTGCTTCTTTCCGGCAAACAGCAGATGCACTGCTGAGGAGGGCGATTCCTTCGTAGTTCCCTACTCTGCACGCAGAGGAAATGAAGGCTTTTGCGCACTCCCTGCCCCAGTGGACGGGGTGAAGCGTTGAAGCGACAGCAGTCACATTGCACTTCCGCGGTCTTAGCTTTCCTCTGTTTTCTTCGTATGCGTGGCCTTAAGGAGCATGAACAATTCAATTTGTTCAAGCCCGAACAGCGTGACGAGCTCAGAGAACACTGGCATTGGGTTTCCAAGACGTGGTGCCTTGCGACGCACATGGTGTTCATTCCTGCGAAAGACAGAAATGCAGAGACTTGGCCAAGGCTTGGGAGCCTGGAGATCGGGGGGCGGCCCCCACCTTGGGTGCATCTGCTCGAGCGCAGCACTCAGCACTCAGTCACAAAGGTCACGGCCCGTTCTTTCGACGCTGTACCCAAGCCTCGACTCTGTGTCTCTCGTGCGATCCGAGGCTTCCAGCTTGTCACGCATGGTCGCCCCGACGTGTTGCCAAAAGTGTTTTTCGACCAAACACCGGACACCCGGTGCACCTGTCGCCGCAGGTGATGCAGAACCAGTTCACTGCACTGGCAGAGCGAATGAACACTGGGGTGCGCCTCTGAGGCCTCTGAGCTGCTACAGGCAGAACCAACTCTGTATTGCGACATATATGCGCTTGCAGTACTTACTTCATCGCTGCCCAGGTGTCAAGCCTGCAGCGTCAATGTGAGGTTGACAGGTCACACCGCCCTTGCTGCATGCAAGACCTCCACTTGTTTGCGCAGAGCACTGCAAGCACTTCTCTGCTAAGGCTGAGCGGGGCCGGGTGCTTCGTCAGGTCATTGTCTTTCCTGTGAAGCCATAGAAGGCTCGGACATGAAGCCGCCCATTTTAGCCCCCTGGGGAGATGAAGGGCTCCCGGAAGAAGCGCATGACCTGGCGGCGAAGGCAACGAGGCCCCAGAAGTGCAGATCCTTGACCGAGTGGCTCCTGGAGGGCTCCGGGAGCACTCGCCCTTCGATGAACCCCGAGCAAGCAACAGCGAGCTTTTCTTCATCAGATAATACTCTAGTGACTCTAGTGCTTAGTTTTTTGGTTAATTTCGGGAGACCTTTTCTGGTGTGTGTGTGTGTGTGTGTGTGTGTGTGTTTTGTCGTGGAGGGCAAAGACAGGTATCGCAGTCAATCGCTGCCAGCCGGCTACAGCTTCCGCTTTACACCTGCAGTTGGGCAGATTACCTTGTATCACGACTCTGGCATCGTCATATCCGATCGGGCAGTTCAGCGTGCGGTATGTTCGTGTGGTAGGCCTCATCTGTCCTTTCAATACGGGCCTGTTCAAATGTTTGCCTCGCAGAATTGTGAAGCAAGCATTGAAGTCAGCAGCGACGAACCAAGCACCTGGAGTGGAAGAAGTCAGCACACCTGGGCAGACTCAGATGCAGTGGTTGGCTGCATGGTGGTCACGCTGCCATGCCCAGCGTGCGAGCCGCCCCAAGCCCAAGTGCCTCCGGATTCTCCAGATTTCGACAAGGGGCAAAGGGCCATTGTGGTGGCCGTGCCGTGCCAAGCTCCACGAAGACCGAAGGCGCGTGGTTTGCAGGTTTGCCTCGCCAAGGCAAACGTGGCTTCGTTTGACCATCTTCTAAAGACCGATGCAGCTGCAGCGTGCAGGGCTTTACCAAACGGAAGAAAGCCATTAAACTTTGCAATAGATCTGCTGGGCAGAGCAAGGGAATCCAGTCGATGTTTCTCGACCGTGTGCACGATGATTCTGTCCCTGATTGATTATCAGGCTGATGTAAACGAGAGGGCAGAGGGTGGGGACACCCCCTTGCATGTGTTGCTGCGCATAGACGCGGCTGAGAGGGAGCTGGTTCAGCTCTGCAGGACCCGCTTGGTGGTTGCACTGCTCAGAGCGAAGGCGGATCCCAATCCGTTGGATGCGTCCGGAGACTCCCCGCTGATGGAAGCGGCAAGCATGGGTGACTTGGAGATGTGCAAGCTGCTGCTGGAGCACGGTGCGAAAGTGACGGCCAAGCCCCCTTGGTGCGGACTCGAGGCAGAAGTTTGTGATCTCTTGGACGAGGCCCTTTGCCGCCAACAAAACGTCCTCTCAAGTCTGATCTCTTCGGGGCTGTCCTTCTTGCGGCAGGATCCAAGCCGCGCGGCTTCATGTTTTGCTGATGCATTAGCAATGGACCCACTCAACCCTGACATACTCCTTGCGGCAGCAGAGGCTGATTATGCGGCCGGCAATTTTGCATCCGCTTACAAACATGCCAGCAGAAGCGTAGCGACGAATCCGATGAATGGGCTGTCATATGCGATGTGTGCGAGGGCATTATGGCAGCTCGATCGTGTGGAAGAGGCTGTTGCCGTCGCAGAGCTTACTCCCGATTCCGATGGGGTAGCATCGAAGCAGAGGGCCAAGCAAGCGAACGCAAGGATGTTGCAGCACACGAAGTGTTTGAGTGCAGTCGAGGTGATTCTGTCAGATAGCTCCGATTCGGATCTTTGCAGATTTGGCAATGCCGCCCAAGATCTGGCTTCGCTGATGGGGGATCTAACTTCACAGGAGCAGGTCTCTTCATGGGGCGTCCGTGTGACGTTGGCCTTCGTGAGGCTGTGCATTCATTTGTCGCAGCCAGAGAAGACCAGACAGCACTGGACATCCAGAGCGCTGTCGGAAACAAAGCGGCTCAGGTCGTCTCAGAATTCTTGGCAGGTCTTGCATTGGCATGCTCGTGCCCTTCTTCAAGCAGGATGCCGTGAAGACGCGATCAACGCACTACGATGCGCGAGCCAGCTTCCTGGTGGCGACGACAGTTTGCTGAAAAGCTTGCTGAGGTCAGAGGCCTTGCAAAAGGACGGAGAGGCGGCTGCTGCTCAAAGCTCTTGGTCTGCGGCGCTGAAATTTTACGAAAGTGCCGAAGCCGAAGCTGGTGCCTTCGACCCCGAGTTCCATGCGCTGCTTCTTGCAGAGAAGGCCAGGGCCAAGCATATGCTCAATCGCAACGACGAGGCTCTCAAGGATGTGTCTGCCGGGCTGAACATCGCGTCCTACTTTGCCAGTCTTTACTTGGTTCGTGGGCTGATTCACATGGAGATGGAGATGTACCCGCAAGCAGCGGCAGATTTCGACCGGGTTGCAGCCATCGACCCCGAGGAGATGCCCAGCGAGCTGCACGAGAAAGCCCGCCGTTGGGCCCTTGCACCGCCTGTCCAGGACCATTACGCGGCCTTAGGCCTTTCGAAAACCTGCACGAGCACCGAGGTCAAAAAGGCCTACCGTCTGGCTGCACTTCGCTGGCACCCGGACAAGAACGTGGGCAACGAGGCGATGGCCGAGCAGGTCTTCAAGCAGATTCAGGCAGCCTTTGACGTGCTGTCCTGCGAGAGCTCTCGCAAGGCTTACGATAGCTATCCCGGCGAGCGCAAGCCCTTTCAGTTTCCGTCTCCCGACACATCTTGAGGCGCCAGACACTTTCGGACGATTGAGACGGTGCTGTTGAGGGACACGAACATCAACTATTAGCAAGCTTGTGGGCGACCCTGTTAAGTCTATACCTGCAACTTCGTGAGGCACGTGTACAACCTCTCTGCGCTGCTTGGCGTCCCATCCCATCTCCATGCCGCAGGCCGTGAGGCATTGGGCTTTGGAACCGGGGCCACCGAAAAGAAGTCAACCCCAGAAGGCGGTGATACATAATGACATGACGGCTGCGACGAGAGTCTGTAAGATGGCCTGGCCTTAAGGTGCGGATGCCGAGCGGAATTCCGAGCCTTTTCCGCGGGCACGTACATCGCTCTCCTTGAGCTCATTTTCACCAGAGAAAATCTCCAAAAGGAGAGGAAATCAGGCGATTCGGCAAACGCCGACTCTCCTCGCACAAACAGATGAGAGGAAGAGTTGCAACAACAGAGTTCTTGTATACGCTGACGGCAATAGTTTCCACCCAAACACTGTCACTTCCTCAGTCCAAGAAGGAGTGCTGTGAGCCCCAAAGTGCCGCAGGCGTCGCCTGGCGCAGCTGGAAAAGAAGCTGGAGGACGGACTATTGGGCTGTGGTAGACAAAGGGCTGGACAAGGTTGCACCTTCTCGTGTCGGCTACAAGCCATTTGATGAGGAAGAGGACACGTCACATCAAGTTTTCTGTTGCGGCGACGTTGGGAGATGTAGTTTAAGTTTTCTCAAGACCAGGCCCAACTGGACGATCGTGCTGACAAGCATGACGGCCGGGTTGGTGCCTCAGCATCCAGAGTCCTGATACACCCCGGGCGTCTCTAAGTCTTGAGGCCTCTAGAGTCATGGCTGTCGCTGGCTGTGAAGGAACGCTGGGCCGAAGTTCAAGGAAGTGTGAACGGCCTCATTGAGGAGTGCTGTGGTTCCTCAAACTCCAATAGCAGGCAGGGCAGTTTTTCTGCAGGAGACCCAGTCTCTTGCTCGCCGTGTTGATGGCTTGGACGAGCGGCTCTGGGCGCGCACTAGTGGGCGGGGGGCCCCGGCGGATGCCCGGGCAAGTTCGTCTTCGGTTTCCGATGGCTGCAAGAGAAGGAACTTCCCCAATCTTCCCCAGGTCCGAAGCTTCCAAGCAGCGGAACCGGGAGATTGAACAGCAGGCTGCCGCCCCATGATTTCTGTTCGTTACCAGCTGTGGCTGGGGTTTTGCTGCCTCAGTTTGGGTCTGTCAGGTGCAAGCCATGGAGCAGCAAAATCGTCTCGCGGCAGCTGCTGCAGAGGAGTTTCTTCATGATGTGAATGCTGCCGATGACAGGTTTCCCTCGCTGGCTTTTCAGCGGAAGTTCGGAGAATCACAAACCCACGAATCACAAACAGTCCGGCTCCAACCAGCTTCGCGCAACTGATTTATCCTTCATAGTAACTGAAGTGTGCCCTTGATGTGGCTACTCTGCTGCATCTCAACGAAACACAGGCACAAATCGTGTGTCCCTACTGTTTGCCAAACAGCTTTGCACACGCCCGGTCATGTTCAGACTACCGCGGATTCGATGAAACGCCAAACTTGTTTTATGGTGCAGTTGCCGTGCCGCAAAACGCTAGGTCCGTTTCAGTCCGTTTCGTAGACGAAGCAGAGCGGCTTCTGACACCGTTACATGATGTCACCGGAAGAGCTACCTGGCTACAAGTACCTGTTTCCGACGAATCCTGGTCCTAGTCACTTCGCCCGCTATACCTGTTTGTATCTGTTCGGGCTGTCCATACCTGCATCGTGTTCCAGACTGGTTTCATCCTCAGCCCGGATGCCTGGTTTGTTTTGTCGCGACATGTCGGGTACGCTGCCTGCAGGAGACACAGAAGCGACAGGTGCACACCTTCTTTTTCAGGCCTTGCGATTTGATTTTGCTGCTGCAGATGTTCAGGCCACAAAGATTCGTCGTGCTGAACACTCACTTGAAGAGGTCTGGGTACTTGCGGCTTGCGGTGTTGTATGGAAGCGGGTTCTGTTGCAAGGTTTTGCGACGTATGGCCGCGATGGAGGACGAGGCAGCAAGCGAGAGGAGAAGCGAACGTGCGTCTTCTGTGCAAGAGCAAGAAGAACGGACGTCAACAACAAGAACATAAGCACAACCCACGAAAACAAGCAAAGTTCGTTCGACTAAGCCAGAACTGAAAGCAAGAGCCAGGTGCGATCGGATCTTTGTAGCTTCAACTTGCAGGTGCGACAGAAGAATGCCACCCAAAGAGATGGCTACATGGAGGACTTCGGCCAGCGTTGCCCCCAGTGCTTCATCAGCAAAGGCTGAACTCGTCTGCAGGCCAGGGTCAATGGTTTGGAGCAGACACAGGTCCGGTCTCTCAGTCATGGTTTTTCAGTTTGCTGGTAGTACCAGTACGGCTCCAGCCGCTCGCAAACTTCAGGAAGCGTTAGATGCAGACCTCCGTGCTTTGCAGGACGCAGCTGTGAAAGTGTCTTTGCCTGCAAGAGACTTGTGTTGCCTGGAAGCCGCGGTGAAGGCCAGCCTCGAAGATGGCCTGCAGATGCGTGATGCCAATCAGGCCAGGTCTGCTTTGATTGGCAATAGTCTCGAAGGTCCTACAAAGAGGCTCCCCCCCGTCCTTTCAGGAAGGTGCGGACCTGCAAGGGGCGGATGTCTTCGAGGCAAGGAGCTGCAGAGATTCACTCGTTTCAGGGCTGCGGCATAAGGCGGTTACGCTTGTGTCAGGCAGTCCGCAAGTCAGAGATGGGCCTTTCCGCACTGGACCGGAAGGCGGCCCAAACCCGCACTTTTTTTCAGGCTGGGGTCCTTCTGAGCCGAAGCGACAGGTGAGCAACCAAGTGGAGGAGCACTTTCGGGTTTGGGAGCCGGGACAAAGAGGACCGAGAGACGTTCCGCTGCCAGGACCTTTCCTCTTCTGTGGCCAGTCTCCGTGTGAAAGTGGACGGCCTGTTGAGTCGAGCCGATGCCCTACCTTCATGCCACAGGCGACGCGAGCCCCTTTATGTGAGAACCGTGAGGTTGGAGGCTTGGCGGAGCGAATCGAGACGGCCCATGAGCTGCAAGCTGAGAGAAGCCGTTCAGTGCACACGAAGTCCCCCTTCGTCCTCGCAGTCATTGCGAAAACCTTCAGGCCCGCGATCGAGTCGCTGCGTTTGGAACTCTCGCAGGCGGTAAGTTGCGATTGCTAGTTCTGGCTGTTGACGGATAGCCAGTCAAGTGCACCGACTCCTCACGCCGGTTTCTCGCCAGGCCCGACAACAGGAGCGGCGTGAATTCGACACAGAGCTGCAAACCTTCAAAAACCGGTTGCAACAGGCCGGGATATGATTTTTAGAAATGGTGTTTGGAAGGAGTTTGATTAGATGAAGAGCCTCAAAGGCGCAAGACTCCAACGAGGAGGCATGTGGTGAGCTCCGAGAGGCTCCATCAGACGTTCATAGCGTGCGTTTCACGTCAGCTTTGTGAAGCAGGCCTCTGTCTTGCGCGTAGTGGTGTTCCGCAAGAAAGCATCGCTTCGAACAGTTGCTACTGCTACCAGCGATTGAACTCTCAACAAGCTTCATGCCGGCACGATGCGTTCTCGAAAGGCTCTTCGCCAGAGCCGTTCGGAGGTCGCAGCGCTGAGCTACCGGCCGGACATCCAACAGGACTGCCCCCCTAAAACAAAGGTACTGTGGTTCTTCTGGCGAACAAAATATCCAAAGGTGAAGGACTAATTTTCGCCTGCGATTGAGTTGCACCGCCTTCTTGCGAAAGCGTCTGTAGCAACCGAGTCAAATTGCCGAACTTCTCACCCCAAGAGGCCGCAGTGTGGTGTTTTGGCTCGGCCATGCCTCATGCTTTGTGTGCAGGACAACTCCTGGATGCGCACCACAGAGGAAAGGCTGGCGGGGCATGAGCAGGACCTCGAGCCTCGGAGCCGCGATTCGGAGCGCCAAGCTTCGCCGAGCTTTGCCGTTGCGAGGACTTGTTTGACCTACGGGAGCGCTTGGAGCTGGTGCAGGTGCAGCAGTGCAGTAGTGCAGCCTCTTGTGCACTGTTGCCAAGACAGATGGGGCCAGGCAGATGGGACGCTGGACGGCAAGACCATGCTGATGAAACCGGCGGAGGACGGGATGTGCCGCGATGCCTTGAAATGGGACTGCGAAGACGGCAGGACATCGATGACTTGCGCCGGCGCCTGGAGTGGTTGGAGGTGGAATTCCGTAATTCCGTTCGGCCTCCGCAGCTTGCGGTTCAGCAAGCGCAATTCTGAGGAGCATGGCTCTGCTGCCAGTGTCTCAGGGGGATCGCAAGCTGCTTTGCAGCTTCGATGGCGAGTCCTGCTGTTTATGTTTCCCGGCAGGCAGCAGACAAAGCAGACTCCAGCAGAATCTCACAGGCCGGTTACCGCCTGTCGCGCTGCGATCGGCACGGCAGCCTGTCCGTGCCTCTGTCAGGTCCAGAACAGTCTCTGTGACCTCGTGGAGCAGGTCTCCAGGCTCAAGCAGCAGGCGCTCAAAGCCGACACATTGCAACGTCTGGTCGCTTCGTTTCGAGACCGGCAGGCAGCTTCTTCAGAAGCGAATGCCAACTCCTGGCAGCAACAGGCTTGACATGTTTGGGCCTTCGACTTCCGATGGAATCAAGCGTCATGCTCACGGAAGGTGAAACAAATTCATAGCAGGGGCCCAAGTAAGGACTGGTTGGACCAAAGGCATTATCGATCGGCTGATTTTTCCTACTCTGTCGCTGAAGGTCTCATTGAAAGAAGACAGAACGAGGACTCAGCGTCCATGCGTGTCACCAACGAGGCACAGCAACGTTAGCCGCAGTTGTCGAAGCGTCGAACCAGCACATGCCGTATTCAGGTGGAGGCCAAGGTTGGTGCATTGTCTGCGCAAGTCGCCGACATGGCAGCAAGGATGTTGGAGGTTGGGCAAAGAACGTAAAGAACCGTGCAGATCAGTGGGATGACCACCGAAGACAACTTCATCGCCGCGGCGCTCGTGGCAGGTTGAGGGCAGCCTGGATTTCGTTCGCGAGAACGATCTCACAGCCGGAGAGGCAAAGCATCGCTTGCTGAGATAAACACAGCCTGCGTCTTGTTGTAGTGACAATTGCGAGCGTGGATGGTGGGTTATTTTAACTGAAAGTATCGTTCGTGGCCATTTTGGTCTCAAGGACGATACCCATCTTTTGGGCAAGTCCAAGGAACAGGGTGGAGCTTGTCTATGGACCTTGCGGTCGTTCCTTATAGCTCGCCTTTGATCTTCGCCTCTGGCGGGTCACTGGTGGGCTGGGAGGACACCCAAGGGGTACCTGGACTTCTCCTTAGCCTGTGCTTTTGCGTCTGGGTTTTCGGATTCTGCTGCGGTAGCTGCTGGGCACGGCCGAGCTCAGCACCCGTGGTAGGCCGGGCCCCGCCGACGCCTGCGCATACCCCTTTGGACCGGTGGGCACGGATTTCCCAGAGGGCTGTGAACTTCGTTCGGAGCCGGAGGCGGCTCTCCCTGGCCTTTGCCAACCTCGGGAACTACAGCCTCCGCAACACCACCGAGTCCCGCCCGAATCTCCGGAGGAGGGCTGCACGGAGGGCCTCGACGCCTGGGCCCATACTTCACGAAGGCCCCGCTCTTCAAAATGGACCCGACCGACGCGGAGCTGGCGGCGATAGCAGACCTACCGGGAGTGTTCACGTGGGCAGGAGTGACAGGGGCCTTGGAGCGAGCACTGCGGGCGGCATTGGGCGACCCAGCTCGCTAGCCCTCGTCCCTAGAGCTGCCTGGGACACCATGGTGAGCACCTTGCGAGTGGCAGGACCAGCCGACGCCGACGGCAATCCAGGCCCGCCCCGGGACTTGACCTTGGTAGAAAGAGCCCGGGTCGAGTCGAGCCGCCGAGTGGCTTTGCTGCGCATGGGCATCCCCCCAGACGTCCCAGGGGGAACAAGCCCGCCAGCACCAGCTCCGACAACAGGGCCAGCACCCACGGGGAGCACACCGGCGACAGGAGCGAGGAGGCTGAAGTTGTCGTCCATTCTCGACCCCACCTTGGACGCCGAGGTCTCGCCGCTGGGCGCCGCCGAGCTGCAACAACTCTACAAGGACTACAAGGCCAAGTTCGGCGATTACCCCAGCCCGGATGCCGATCCCTCCTCGGATCAAGTGGCGTCGCTGCGCCAGGTGGTGGCCGCGGGAGCTGCACCTTACGCAGATTTCTCGCTGTTCGGGCCTCACGGCCTGCGCCTCCTTCGCAAGCAGACGTTCACGAGCTACACCCTGAACGTTGCCACGGGCGAGTGGTCCAAGAAGGAGCAGCCGGGCCCCTCGAGCTACCACACGTGGATGGAAGCTTGGAAGGTGTTCCGCACCACGCTCCTCTTGCTGGAGATCGCCGACGCGGAGCGGCTGGACGCCTACGCGGAGCACGTCAGGTCATATGTCACCCAGTTTTCCGACAACTGCTGGTGGCTGATCTACAGGGCGGAGAACCGCCTTCGCTGTGAACACCTCGAACGCATCCGGCGGACCTTGACGGACCGCCCGGAGTTCGGGTTCACTAGCGCACGGCCCTGGAACGCGTGCTTTGCTGCGGCCGTCCGTGACAGCGACTTCTGGACGAGAGAGCTGATCACGCCCGCGACCCTCTGGTTGTCTCAGAGGCAGCCAGGAAGCGGGAGCGACGGCAGCGGCGGCGGCGGCGCGGGCACGGGGCAGCTCAAAGGTCGAGTTGGGCAAGGAAGTGGAGCCGATGATGGCTCCCCTAAGAAGAAGCAAAAGAAGGGGCGCTATGATGGGGAGGACAAGAGCGAGAAGAAGGACGGGGTGTATGTCCTCAACAGGCGTGGCGCCAAAATATGTGGTGGATATAATAAGGGGAAGTGTGGCAGCAAGAAGCCACAAGGCAAATGCCGAGATGGCTGCAGCCATCAATGCAACATGTGCCTCGGCCCCCACCCCGCTACGGACTGCAACCGCTCCTGACTCCCCGTCGACCTCGCTGATTCAACGCCCTCTTCGGCGGCAGCCGGGGGTGAGACAGCGGCGGCTCCGCCTGGCACTTCTCATGGGGGGCGGTACGTCAAGCCGACGCCGAAGCGGAAAGCAGGGCCGGCAGACGACGCGAACCAGCAGCTTGTGGACAAGACGGCGCAGTCCAAGGCATCGGGCACCCGACCCTCCGAGCCGCGTCAGCCTCCAGCGCAGAAGCCACCGACGCCGCCACGGGCCAGGCCGGCGATCAAGCGCAAGAGGCCCGATGCCACTCAGCCGGCCACTTCCTCCACAGCCGACGGAAGCCCGAAGGCCAAGGTGAAGAAGCACGCAGCGGCAGCAGCCACGGGCAACAGAACGAAGGGTGCGAGCGGCAAGCTGGCCAGCACCCAAAGCCTCCTGCTGGTTCCCCCGCTGGAGACGGCGTGGCCCGACTACCAGCCGCTTGTCAGGGGCCCACGGCCGTATGGGATGTGGATGGAGCAGCCCGCCGACACCTTTGTGGAGAGGCCTTGGGCACTCATCCTTTTCAGTGGCCGGCGCCGCAAAGGAGACCTCCCCAACTGGCTGGTGCACTATGGCTTCATGGTGTGCTGTGTCGACAGGGACTCCTCGCCGTCATGCGACGTCCTCGACGAAAGTCAGTGGAACCTAGTCGAACGAGACATCATTGACGGGCACTTCTCGGTGGTGTGGGCTGGCACACCTTGCGGCACCTTCAGCCCTCTGAGGGAGGTCCGCCCTGGACCCCGCCCGCTCCGCACGGTTGAGCACATAGAGGGCAAGCCGGACCTCAGCCCGTCGGAGAAGACACAGGTCAAAGAGGCCAACGTGCTGGTGGAACGCACGCATGATGCACTGGTGGCGGCCTGGGACCAAAAGCTCACCTGGGGCTTGGAGAACCCGGCCCACGGCGAGAACAAACCGGAACTTTGGCAGATGCCGCCTATCCGCCAACTCGCGGGCCTCGATCGGGTCGCCGTCGCATCGTTTGACCAGTGCAAGCTCGGCCTGGACACGGTGAAGCCCACCAAGATCCTCTACAGCAGCAACGCCAGTGGCTTTGAAGTTCTGGACGGGCTTCGGTGTGATCACCCTCCAGGGTCCCATGGCAGCACCGCCGGGAAGAAGGAGAGGGGCCCGGCCGGCTCCAAGCAGTGGGCCTCCAAGCGCCAAGGTGAATACACGCCCCACCTCTCCCAGATCATCGCTCATTCTCTGTACCAGGGCTTCCGCGTCAGGGCCCTGGAAACGGAGTCCCTATGAGCGGCTGACCCCACCTCGGAGTTCCAGGCCCTGGCGGCGAAGGGCCCGAGGACGGAGAGGGACAGGGAGAACAGCCAGGCCTTGGGCGGCATGCGAAACCCCCGCCGTTCACTCCGCAGGCTGCCCAAATCAAAAAGGGTGGGTCGGGCCATCCACAAGCTGCTTCGAAGCTCCATGCAGCAGTGGCCCGAGCTGGTCGAACCTGCGCTCGCCATCCTGGAGGGGAGGAAGCCGGAGGAGTTCGACGTGGATGTGATCGGCAAGATGCGGGCAGCCGTGCTCACAACATTGGGGGCCGACGCGCGGGCCACGACACGCGAACGCACGGCCCCAGCGAGCACGCCACTTCGGGCCGAGATCTTTGAGGCCTGGGGCAAAGCCACAGACGACCCGGACTCGGCAACACTGGCCGGCTGGCTCGACCACGGGGCGCCCCTTGGCTTGACGGAGGATATCCCTTCCACCGGGGTCTTCCCACCGGTGGTGCCTCGGGACCTAAAGCCCCACGAGAAGCTCGACCGCAGGGCTCTAGAGGGCTGGTCCAACTACAAGTCGGCCGAGGAGGAGGCACACGTGCTGGACGAGCTTATCACCGACTACGAGAGAAGAGGGTTCTGCACGGTGGTTTCCACCCTGGAGGAAGCCATCGAGATCTTGGGCGGCCCGCCCGTCCTCAACCGACTCGGCGTCCTGGTGAAAGAAAAGAAGGACGCACAGGGCAACCTTGTGCGAAAGGCCCGGGTCATTTGGGACCTGAAAGAGTCACAGGTGAACAAGGCTTGCAACCAGGGGGAAAGGATTATCCTCCCTAGGCTTCTGGACGTGGTGGCCTCCCTCTTGGCGGCCTATCGGAGGGGCCGGCCACCCTTCCTGGCGTGCATCGACATCCGGGACGCCTTCATGAATATACCAGCCGGGAAGGACCGGCGCTTCACGGTGGCGGCCGTCCCTCGGAAGCGGAACCGAGGCAAGATGCACAAGCTGGTGCTCTTTAACACGTTGGTGTTTGGATCGGCGTCCTCACCAACCGTGTGGGGACGCGCCGCAGCGTGGCTTGGAAGAACGACGGCAGCCACGGGGCCAGCCGACACCCAGGTGTACGTCGATGATCCGGTCTTCGTGCTGGACGGGCCGCACTTGAAGGTCGCCGCCTCAGACCTGACGGTGGCCCTGCTTTGGGCCGCCGTTTCAGGCTACCCCGTCAAGCTTTCGAAAGCCTGTGGTGGCAAAGACTTGGAATGGGTGGGCGCGAGGATCCGGTGCGTCGACGCGGAGGAGGCAGTGATCGTGACCCTGCCGGCCTCCAAAATTCAGGCCCTCCTGCAAGACACCGACAAGTTCCTGGGCCGATCAGTGGTGGGATCAAGGGAGCTACGCTCCTTCACGGGGGCTCTCTCTTTCGTTGCGGGCCTGGTGCCGCACTTGCGGCCGTTCCTGGCTACCTTCTGGGCGGTTTTGACCAGGCATGATGTGACGGGTGAAGGTCGGCATGCTTTGTCGACCCGAAGGCTCATACATGTCAGGCGGATCCGCCCGGCACTCTGCTGGGTTCGGGCGCTACTAGCCGGAGGCCCCACCATCGAGAAGATCTTCTACGCCAACCCGCCCAAGGTCGACCTGGAGATCGTCACCGACGCTTGCCCATGGGGGATGGGAGGAATAAGGAGAGAAGGGGGGCGTCCCACGGCCTACTTCTACCTCCACATCCCAGACGTCGTCCTCCGGAAATTCGGGGCGGAGCGGGGCCTGCCGAAATACAACACGCTGTGGGAAGGACTGGCCCTTCTGGTCGCCTTCCGCTTGTGGCTGCCCTCCCTCGTTCACGGCGCCACGTTTCGGGCCAAGTCGGACAACCTCGGGTTCCTCATGGCACTTGCCAAGGGAAGCGCAAGGTCTGCGGACCTCAATGTGCTTGCTCGAGAGTTTGCCTTCGACCAGGCGACGCGGGCCTACCACGTGAACGGTTTGGTCCACATCCCCGGCGTCACGAATGTGCAGGCGGACGCCCTTTCTCGCCAGTTCGCTCCTGAGGCAAAACGCTTCCCAAAGGAGCTTCTGGAGGTTCCTCGTGACGAGGTCCTCATCAACGATCACTTCTGGAAAGTGTGAGTAAAAGGTTCGTTGCTTTGCGGGTTCGTGTCTCCTTCTCGCTCTCCCCCCGCTCGTTTGCTCTCTTCTCCGGGGTTGTGCTGTGCCGTTTGGTCACGCGTTTCTCAGATGCCGCGGCCCAAGAGATCGTACGCGGTAGCCTTCAGGCCCTTAAGTAACCCCACCACGCTTCGAGACCCACCGAGGGCACCTGGCATTCTTCACGAGGGTCCTGCCCTAGGGCGGCCCGACGTGGGTGCTGGAACCCAACCGGGGGGCTTGGCGGGTGCAGGGCCAGAGGCGGTAGCTAGAAACAATGGGGAGCCAAGTGCATATCGTCGGGGGTCGGCGGCCCTGGCCATGGAAGCTTTAACTGACCCCGTTCATTGCCGTTCGGTTTTGCTGGCCGACTCTAGAGCGACCACCTCCATTGGACCCGTTGAGTCTAGACTCAGGCAATGGGTGGCTTGGTCAGTGTGGGCAGGGCTCGAGCCTTATCCCCTAACACCCGACGGAATGTACGTCGTCATGGGTGGGCTCAAAGAGGCAGGCTACCGTTCAGCGATGCAATACCTGGACCTTGCCAAGCAAGAACACGTCCAGAAAGGACACCCGTGGACGGACCAGTTGGCCTTAGCGTATCGGGTTTGCTCGCGCTCCTGCAAGCGAGGGCTTGGTCCAGCCAAACAGGCGGCGGCCCTCCCGCTCGACAAGCTGGCCGGGTTAGACCAGTCACGCTGTCAAGTCCCCTCGGGACCGGCGAGGCCAGTCACCTCCACTATAGTGGCGTCCTGGTGGCTCTTACGCGAGCTGGAAGCGTCCCGCGCCAAGGTTCGGCACATTACCCTGGACTTCGGGGCGAAAGTAGCCGCATGGTTGCTACCGTCGTCCAAGACGGATGTTGCAGCGCTTGGGGCCACCCGCAAGCACTCTTGTTCCTGCGCCGTTTTACATCCAGACCTTTGCCCTTTTCACACCTTAGCGTCTCTGGTGCAGGGAAAGCAACCGGAAGATCCCGTTTTTGTGGACCTGGATGGATGCCCACCATCAAAGCATGGGTGGGCCGACACATTCCAACGAATCGCAGCTTTGCTGGGGCTCCCGTTGTACCATCACAACGGAGCTCGGGCTTTCACTGGCCACACGGCACGCGCTACAGGAGCGCAGTTTCTAGCCTTTAAAGGAATCGAAATTTGGCGCATCCAAATTTTCGGGAGGTGGGGAAGCGAAGTGATTCTCCGATACGTCCGCGATGCCCCTCTAGCACAGCTGAACGAGTTGGCCATCGAGGCTGGCGACAGGGAAACCTTAGCCAAGATTCGCAGCGATCTGGACAGGCTTATGCGGGAGGTCAGACCTTCACTGGCAATCCCCGATTCCAGTTGGCACGTTGAGTGCCAGGTTAGGGGCGCGCCGGCGTCCGGCCCGGCGGCCATCCACACTAGCACGGCCAAGGCCCTCGTCCTCAATACGGCTCGGGGTGGCAAGCTTCACAAATGCCTTAGCGATTTCAGCTCACCCCAGGTGGCGCTGAACCCGAGCTCGTGGCGTACCTGTTGTCTTTGGCCCTTCGCGTCAGGCGACAAATCCTTTCAATGGGTGCCCCTCCGCCATAAAGGCAGGAGATGCAAACATTGCTTCCCCAGCCAGAGGCGGGCTCCGTCGGAATCGGAGTCAAGCTCCTCTTCCTCCTCCAACTCGAGCACAAGCTCGAGTGACTCTTGATACCGAAAACAACCGCGCTAAGCAGGCGGGACGGACATTTATTTGGCAGTTGTTGGTCAGGTCATGCGGGTATCTTCTGCCCACTTGAGTTTGTCCAAGGGCCCTATCGGCTCCTTTTGGACATAGCAAGCGGAGCGACCTTTACGACCAACTGTTGAAAAGTCCGTCTGCTTCGCTTAGTAGATGGTGGTTGTTTGGGGAGCGGATAGCAATTGTCGAGAGAAACACAGCCTGCGTCTTGTTGTAGTGACAATTGCGAGCGTGGATGGTGGGTTATTTTAACTGAAAGTATCGTTCGTGGCCATTTTGGTCTCAAGGACGATACCCATCTTTTGCCCACCCGCCCACTCCTGGGTATCTTCTGCCCACTTGAGTTTGTCCAAGGGCCCTATCGGCTCCTTTTGGACATAGCAAGCGGAGCGACCTTTACGACCAACTGTTGAAAAGTCCGTCTGCTTCGCTTAGTAGATGGTGGTTGTTTGGGGAGCGGATAGCAATTGTCGCTTTTCTTCATAGCTGTGGCTGCTGGGGCATAGACTGTGGAAGGTCAGCGCGCCTGAGCGCACGGCCCCTGAGAGCGAGGCCGAAGCCCAAATCTCAAAAAGGGCCGCTCAGCTCCGAGAGTACATCCTTCTGTCTTGATAAAGCCAGGCGCCCGCCCAACCCAGTGCGCTTCAGGCGCTGTGGCCGTGGGTTCTGACGTTGTGCAACCTGAGAGATGCATCTTGCCGCGAGAGGAGAAGCTGGAAGCCGTTGCCGAGCACTTGGAGGTGGACTGGCCAGGGTCCTTCGTGATGCGGGAATGTGCGATGCTCTTCGTGACTTCGTGCGTGCGCAGGTGGTCGATGATCTGTCGGATCGCCTTGCGGAGCTTGAGCGTCGCATGAGCACAGGCCAGGTCCTGAGGTCTCGGCAGGCATCAGGCAGGCGTCTCCCTCCAGGAAGAGTCCATGCCATTTTGCGTGACCTGCAAAGGTCACGACTTTCATCCCTTGGGAAGCTCATCACCTGGACCAGTGTCCGAGGCAGTAGAGAGTAGAGGGGAGGGGGAAGCTGCAACGGCATTTTTCATCGGAGTTGGCCCCGGCTCGCCAGGTGAGCTTCGGAGGCGAGGCGCCCTTGAAGGCCCGCTGCTGCTCTTTGTCTGAGTCGAAGTCTCCGGCTTCCGGCGGCGGCTGACGTGGCGAGGCTTCCTCTGCTCCAGATCTTTCTGCCAGCCAGCTGCGACCTCGTCCCCTCAAAACCCCTGAAAGCTTGCTGGGCTGCTGGTCCTAACAGCTCTTCCCAGGCTGGGCGAGCTTCAGCTTCGAATGGACGCGATGGATCTGAAGATGAAGTCTGTCCAGGAGGCTGCAGGCAGTAGCAGAGCTATTTTGCAACCTTGGCTGCTCTTTGACGAGGCTGCTGCAGCGAAGCAAAGCAAGCCTGACTTGAAGGTGCATCAATCTGCGTCGTTGTGAGTTTGCTGTATGTAGACTTTCCAGCCAAACCGTTTAGTGGCACAACAAGGCTACTTGCAAGCAGGGTTGACAGCATCTCAGGTGGAAGAGGACCTTCAAGCGCTGAGAAAAGAGTTCGGGCGCCCAGAAGTTTTTCCGTCGCCCCTCCGCCTCTTTCTGGGCCCCGCCCCTCAGGCTCGTGAGTCTGACCTCCCGGCTGGGTGCAGCCGAGCTGGAGTTGAGCTCTGCCACGGAGGAGTGCCAAATAAACTCTGATCGACTCTGACTCTATGCCGTTCCCTGTTCACAGGAGCTGGCGAAGAAGGCAGAGGCTTGAGAGGGCCGACAGCGTTTCTCAGTTGAAAGCAAGACCTCGTGCTGGAGGCTTCGCCTGCTCCGGAGTTGGCAGCCCTTCGTTCAGAGCCTTGACTGCAACTTCTCCCACTGGCCTGCTTGCGCCCTTGCGCGCTTCGTGTTTGGATTTCTGGAGTATGCTCTGCAAGGAGCTGTTGGAGAAGGTCAGAGAGTTCGATGCGGGCCAGGACATGAGCAGAGCCCATAAACATCCATTTTTACCCTGTCTGTGAAGCCGCGAAGGACCAGTCCAAACGCTCGGCCGCCTCGACAGCTGCGGAGGTCAAGGAGGCGGCAGAAGCCGTTTCCCCGAGGGGATCCTGCTGGGAGGGAGCCCCGAAAACACAAAAAGCATCGAAATACTAGTACCGTGTCTTGTAGGTCCGGGATGACGTCGTCCTCCTCTCTGAGAAGGCGCCTTCGCACGACCCTAAACACTAAAGGCCCTAACGGCCCTAAACCCTCACCCGAATCAGATTTATACAGCCCTAAATGTACCGAGAAGGAGAGGCTGCTGGGCTCAGGTCGATGCCACGCTCGAGGACCTCCAAGAAGGGCTCACAGCCGCGAAGCAAGCCGTGGAGGCGGGAGAAAAAGCTATGGACTATGACTATGATGATTATGATGGTAGGAATATGTAGGATTACATATTTATTGGTGAGTCTTGTGGTAGTGTTACACAAGAAGTAACCAGCTCTCTCCATGACCAGGCAGTGATGGCACCCATCAAGCAGGAGCTGAAGGAACTGTCGAAAGCCCAGAGACGTCTCAGAGGAGAGACTTCACTGCTCCGTGCGATCTTCGACTCAGGCGAAGCAGGCTGCCGGATTCTGCTGCAGAGGAGAGTGCGGAGCAAGCGTTGCTTGAGAAGCTGGAGGAGGCGGTTTTGTGACATGTTTGCGACGACTCCGCGCTGATCTGATTTGTCTATGCATCCGGAGATCGAGCGCAAGATGAAAGATATGCAGACCTCGCAGACTTCGACCTCGAAGGCCTTTCACACTTTAGAGGGTGCAAAAAGAGACAGTGGGCCGTGGGCTCATCATATCACGTCTTGGGGCTTTCTGCTTGCGTCAGGCTCCCGCGAAGGATGGCCTGGAGGAGATTTCATAGAACAGGTTGGAGGAGGATCTGGTCTGGGTTGCATTGCAGTCCTTCGAAGGAGAAGCTCACGCAGCTGGAGATGGCCTTTGCCAGGACTTGTGAGCTTGAAACCCTTTGCCTTCCGCCAGCCTCTAGGGCCTCACCGAGGGTCACGCCAGGATGGAAAGTCGACAGGGGCCAACGCCAATGTCTAGCCTCGCAGGATTGAGGAGGCCAAGCCGGCGAGCATCGATGACACCGTCATCGTGGCTTGCCCGCAAAGTCTGCAAGACCTGTCCCTGCAGCCACCGACAAGGACGCATTGGACTTTCAAGCGACACCTGGGCAGAAGTGGTAGGAATAAATACATCGTGGTATGTTGTTTTCCGTATTATTGACTTCTACTTGCAGGAAGATCCGTCTGACAGTCTGATGGTGGGGATAGGCACAGAAATCAAATAGGGATCAGACATCACTTGAAAACAACCTGTGAGTTGCACGTTGGATGCGTCGAGACACCAAACGAGCTACAGTCTATCCCCAAACCCTGAATATGTACAGAGTCGCCTGCCAGCCACATCTTGAACTTAAACCTGACCCCAGGATCCCGAAATCCTTAAAGAACCGCGCCTAGCTCTAGTCGTTCTGCACGGCCACGCAGAGAAGCGGCGAAGCTGCTGAGGTTGATCGCCTGGATGCCTTGGACAAGCGCATGGACGAGGACTTGTGGGGGTCGAGCCAGAGCCCAGCGTTTTTTTGAAGGGTCCGCCTGGCCTCAGGACCTCCAGCGGAGCGTGGGAAGGCTCGAGAAGCTTCTTGGAGAGGAAGGGCACCATCCTATTCTCTGGTGGCTTAGATGACACGCGTCCTCTGCCGTGACGTGAGCTGCAGGAGATTGAGGCTATCAAGACGACTCTGAAAGAGCAGGCCAGCAGGGCAGCATGAAGCAGATGTGAGCTGAACGATGCTGAACTTGAGAAGTGGGAGTTTCCGCAGGTTGCAGCACTCAGCAAGCGCTTGGAGGTCGCCGCCGTGCTTGTCTCAGATGTCCGACCTACCTCAAGTTGGTTGCCTAAAGGAGCTCTTTCGTGAAGACGGGTATGCAACAGTCTCACAGGGGTGCAACGTTTTCAGGCTCGCCCAACACCTTGCGCAAAACAGTTCGGCTCCAGTGAGCGACACCCTCGACCCTCACGTCGGCTGATTCAGTAGTTGTTGCCACCGTTTCCAGTGCCAGAATCGAGCACGTCTTCCTTTCAGGCTTTCGACGTAGAAAGCAAAACTAGTCCGCATGTGTTCGCTTTCGAGATGTTTGGTAGCTCGCTTACGATGCGCGCACGGGGTGTTGCATGCATCTAGTGTGGAACATCTGCGACTGTGACAGTTGTCACGCATGAATCACCTCTACCTTCAACAAGGATTTCTCTTGTGACCGGCCGCTTCTTTTTCATGTGATGTCTTTCGCCTCGTCCTCCTGTTATCAGCTTTGTGTGCTCGCGGTGTTGAGTGACTGGTGGACATGCGAGGCATCGCTTCGTTCAATGCAGGAAGACTCGACAAAGCAGGCCGCGAGCGTCTTTGGTGTAGCACACATCCATGCTGGCATCGTGAAAGGAGCAAGAGCAGCTGACCCAGCCGTCGTCTCAGACTGGGGTTCTTGAGTCGGGATCCTCTCAGTCCCAGTGCCTTCGACACCTGTGAGGATGGAGGAGCTTCAGCGGCAGCTCCTCGAGGCTGCCAAGCTTGAGTTGGCTGTTAGGCACTCTTCGGCCTACGCCTGCAATGAAACCCAGAGAGACCCCCGCAGTGCGAAGCTTTTTTGACCTGCCAGCTACCGGAAACCTGCGTGGCCACGGTGGACTTCGTGGAGTCGCGGCCTCCGAGGGGAGCGCAGAGGGCAAGACAATTATGGCAAGACTTCGTCTAGCCTTCAGTGGTGAAGCCATGACACTGCGATCCCGGTGCACAGACGGCCGGATCGCATCCTCTGCCTGTCATTGCCTCCAGGTTGAAGGAGCAAGTCAAGCAGGTGGAGCTGAAGGTCTCAACAGGCGGGACACTGACAAAAAAGAGACTTGCAGACATCTTCGGGCTGTGCAGGGCTTGGTGCGAGTTTCGTGCCCAGTGGCGGAGCAGACGCCGCCGAGGCACCCTCCCGCTGTTGTGCCGACGGCCGGTTAAATGCACAAGTTTGGGTCAGACGACCTTGTCCGACTCATGCTCGCGATGGACAAATGTGGAGGACGTGAAGCTCCGAGCACAAGTTCAACAACAGGCGGTTCATGAGCGACCCGAGCTCGTCCGTTGTGAGCTAAGCACGGCGATGTTCTCCAGTTGCAGGTCCAGGAGCTCGCCGGCCAATTGTCCACCGAAGTGGCAAAGCTGGTCAGAAGCTGAGCGCCTCGCGGCGAGTTCTTTGAGATTTGAGGCGCAGGCATGAGGGCGGGTGCGGGTCCTGCTCAGAGCTCGTGCCAGGCCCAGCACCACAAGGAGATTGCGGACACCAAGACCACCGTTGAGGATCCTGCGGCGATGTCGGCGTAGCCCTACAATTTTTCTTTAGATGAGGTGAGGTCCGAACAAAAGAGAAGCCGAGTATGGCCGAGTCTGCAGGACTTGGCGACGCAGCTCAGGGCGCAGCCGGCTCAAAAAGAGCGGCCCGAAGTGGAGGAGCACACGGAGGAGTGCCGGAGTGCCCTAGACCGTGCCTTCTTTGAATCTCCGTATCGGCTTGGGATTGGGAGGAGCTTGCAAAGCTGCGCAAAGACTTCGTTGCGCTGGAGGGCGCCTCAAAGTGTTGGGGTGGCCTCGGAACCGTCTAGCAATCTGGGCGAATCTTTCGCCAAGGCTGACCGCCTTGCGTCGACAGAGACCCTCTCTTCAGCGACCAAGAAGGAGCGGCTTGCAGCCAGATGCCATTTGCGTCTCGCAGCCCGTGCTCGCAAACGACCCACCCTTGTAATGGATCCCGAGTGCATATTGGTGCCGCAACATCTTCGAGCACTGTAGCTGTTCCAAACTCAACTCCGGTCTTTTCAGATTTAGTTAGATCCTTAAATGGCTTTATGTTCACAGTCCCTCGAGCCGCAATGATTCAACACCCGGCCAGGATCTGGAAGCGCTCTTGGGTCCGCGCAACAAGATCGGAATCAGCCTCGTCCTCGGTCTCGGCGTGTCGGTTTGCTTGTGCGCAACAGGATGGGCGTGGCTGGATTGGCACGGATTTTGCCAAGCCCTGCCTGTTTCGATTTTGACAGGCATGGGTGCAGGCAACGACTCACCGTTGGCGGAGGCAAGGATCTTGTGTCCGGCGTCCGAACTCCAATATCGTTCGCCCAAGTGCCTGACCGGCCAAGGTACGTGGCCGGCTCGATCTGCTGTCTGAGCAGGTGGGGAGAACTTGTCACTTCCCCACTTAGGTATAAACATTGTTTCCTCCCGAGGTAGCCGAGCTGCAAAGCAGGCAGGTCGTTGATGGTGGCCTTGAGAGGTGAGCTGAGAGGTAGTCGAGTGCGATGCTTCCATAGCAGGCAGGAGGACAGCCACACCGGAAGCGTCACCTGCACAGTTCAAGTTCGCAGCCACGGTGTCTTTCGTTGAGTTTGGCAGTGGGAGACTGCTACTGAGGCCAGCCTGAAAGGAGCTCGCAAAGACTCTGTGGACACTCAGCTGACAAGATCTGACAAGTGTAGTGCCGTAGGCCCTCCCCGCCTCCACGCCTCCATGTTTCAGCGAATGTTTCTTGGGTGCTGCACGCAGCAGAGGCCAGCGCCGACGGCAGCCTGGAGCTCGGCTCGGTGCGTCGCGGCTCTGGGAATTGGAATATCTCGGCTAGGCCTCAACTTCTCCCTGACGGAGCAGACGGAGCGACCAGGCCGGGGCCCGAAACAAGCAGGCAGCAGCAGATACAAGTCGCAGCAGAGTCACGCGAGCTGCGAGAGAACAGGCGCACCAGGCGACAGCTTGAATTTCTCCTTGACCGAGCAAACGGCCAAGGCTAGCGGACACTTCGCAGAGCTGTGCACCCCATCACGCCTCCATGGCAGGGAGACTTTTCGTCTTCGGAGCCCTTCGGCAAGAGACCAGCTGGCCGCGGACCCGGCGGCGGATCGGTTCCTGTGTGCTTCGGCCGCCCCTTGAGGGGCAAAATGTTGCGAGGCATCAGCCTGGAGGTTGCCGAGGAGGCTCCGGACTCGTGGACAAACCCCAGTGAACTGTAGCTGTAAACTCGATTTCTTCAGACCTGGTGTTTTTGTTAGTTCCACAACCCTGCTGCCCCTTCCCCCTCAACGTTCAGGACTCTGATTTGGATGAGATCTTGTCCGCGACAGATTCGCCCGTTGCCGTCTGGGCCTGGGCGAGGGAACCTATTTTTTTTGGGCCCTTTTCTTTTTTTTAGGGGGGGCCTTTTTTTTTTGTGGGCCCCTACGTTCTGTTGTTTACACAGGGGAGGAAGACAGCAAGGAAACAGGGGAGGAGGAAGGAAACAAGGAAAGAAGAAGAGAGAGAAGGGCATGTGTGGATGGGCCTCCCAGTGGCGCATGCGGACCCAGGTTTCCTGGAGACAGACCATCACGGATAGTATGAGAGCCCCCCTGTGGGGCGTGGGCTCTCCTTATGGTCATCTGGTACTACTTTATGTTGCTCATTGTGCCGGGCTTTGTCGGCTACGGCAGCTGGATGGAAACCTCGGAGGACACCTCTAAAGGCAAGCCGATGTGCAAGGGCCGGTTCCGCTGCAAGATGCGGAGAAGGAGAAGAAGAAGGGGGAGACGGCGGCGTCATGTTTCTACTGGTGCTGGCTGTGAAGAGTACAAGACCTGTGCTTTTATGGCACGATGTGTACAGGGAAGACGCTGCAGAGCTGTGCGAAGTGGCGCTGGGCTTTTGGGTGGCCGGCGTCGTGTTCGAGCGGTTCGGTGTCTTCGAACTTTGGCTGCTGCGAGGCGACCCGGATGTTTCATACGTGAAGGGGCTTCGGAGCTTTTGGCTGGAAATTCGTTTGTGGATGACCAGAACAGCATTGTGGATAACAAGAGTCCTGGTGTTGAAGGTGATCCTGTGCAGGTTTTGGCTGGTGATGGCTCCCTTGGGGGCTCTGTTACTGGCGACATTTCTGTGAGTGCTTCCAATGGTGAGAAGATGATTTGGGACGGCTCTTCTTGGGTCCCTTGGCGACTCTTTTGCCGAGGGGGAGGTTTGGCTGAGAAGCTCAGGGCCCTCCTTGCTGAGACCGAGTGTCCTGGTGATCGTGGCAAAGCAAAGGGCAAAGGTGGTCAGCAGCATGCTGCTGACGATGGTGACCTACGACTCCTTGAGACCTTGGTAAGCATGCTAAGGGCGACGGCACCAAGGGCTCCGGTGCTTTGACTGGCAAGGGCAAAGGCAAGGACTTTGGTGGTGGCAAAGGCGGTGAACCTCAACAAAGTGCCGTCAATCCACCTAAGCGACGCTGGGGCCGTGAACCGTGGCGGCCTGACTCGACGGCCCTTAAGCTGTGCTCGGCTAAGGCAGCCGCCTCCTTCTTTGAGAAAACTCAGGACGCTGGAGAATGGAGGTGGGACGTTGTCGTTGTCACTGAGGCGGAGCAAGCAAGGACTCTCCGGCAGCAGGCGCAGCTGGCCGGGTTGCAAAAGGACGTCGCGATCCTCCTGAACTTTGCTGACGCGAACAAGGTTTTCCCTGAGGCCAGTGAAAGGCCTTATCCTGCAGTGCGTGGTATCCGCAAGGATATCCAGAAATGGTGGTGCATCCCTTTGGCGGTCAAGCTGCCAGGGGCCTTGGACCTGGTGAGGCGGTCGACTTTCAAAGGACCGGAGTGCGAAACTGTTGTGCTTCGCGCCGTGGCCCCGAAGATCTTCTTTGATGAGATTGTGTGGCGTAACGTTCTCTTCGACCCGGAGGACTACATCAAGGGCCGGTTCCCGCGAGCCCACTCTGCGCTTAAGTGGGAGACCGTCTCCGGGAGAGGCGAGAAGGGCAAGGGCAAGGAAGTGGTTTTGCAAGGATTGCTTCGTGTCCCTGCCGAGCATGTTGATGAGACTTTGGCCTTGAGCGGCAAAGGTGCTATTTTCCTCTCGCGGCTGGCGAAGGACACCAAAGACACTCGGGTACAGTGGCTTGACCCCCCTGAGGGCAAGGCCGGCTACGGCTACCTCCAGCATGCCAGCCCTGGGACTTCGTCTTCCGCATGGGGCCGCTACTCCCTTGTCCCTGGCTTGGCGTCTTCGTGGAGTGCCGATTGGTTGGGATCAAGATGTTCTTCAGGAGGCTTTGCGTGGTGTTGGCATCGCCGGCGAGGTCAAGGTTACTGACCAGACACCGGGGCGGCCGTGGCTGGTTCGCATCGTGCATGCTACTCCTACCGACGACCTCACCTCGCCTTCCACGTTGAGGTGCCGCGAGCTGAAAGAGAGGGCAAGTTCTTTAACCTGAGCGCCTAGCTGGTCGGAGCCGTCCTTCCTTGGAGTCTCGGGCCTTGGATGCCCACCGCAAAGTGCGAGCTGCTAAACCTGCCACATGCAGGCGACGGCATGGATGTGGACAATGCTGAGGAGGATGACGCCGATGGTGGTCAGGCTTCCGAGGGTCAGGAGATGGCCGAGGGCACTCCTGCCCCTGCTGCCGATGGGGCTCCGACGGGATCCCCGACATCAGGCCCCGCTGATTGCGGCTCGGGGGCTTCAGCTGATGCTGGTGGACAAAAAGAAGCAAGCGGCCCCACTCCCTCCGGGTGGTGCCGCGGCGAAGCGGGCCAAGGTTCCTGTCGCGACCGTTGCCGACCGGTGGTGGGAGGTTCAGGAATGTGGGGCGGAGGGCTGCTGCTTCTACAACTCCTTTGCTGCGGCCTATGCCATGCAGAAGGACAAACTCACCTGGGAGGAGGTGTCCAAAGTTCTGCGCTCTCGAGGACGTACGGTGCGGGGCGAGATCGCTGAGTTCATCACCAGCCGCCAGGCGAAGTATCGAGAGTTCTATGCGCCTGACTCCGATGATGGTCTGGACCAGGCCACTCGCGAGCTGCTTGAGGACGGTGCTCCGCCTGCAACCTGGGATGGATATCTCTCGGCGCTTCGGCGTCCTCATCGCTACGTTGATGAGCTCTCTTTTAGGGCGTGTTGCGCACGCTTCCGGTCGCGCATTATCGTCCACATTGGAGAGGTGAGTGAGTCGGCGCCGAAAGTGGTGTATGGGCAGCCCAACGGCAGCTGCACAGCCCATCTTCTGTACACTGGTCGTCACTACCAGTTGCTCCGTCTTCGACAGGGAAAGGACTTTCCTGATTGGATACGTGACTTGAAGGTCAGCGACGACTTGAGTCTCTTCCCCCGTGGAGGTGGCAAACGTGGCGAGGTTAGTGCTGGCGCCTCGGTGCTGCCGTCGCAGGTTTCTGATGATTGGGCGCCTAGTGCCTATGCTTCTTCCATCGTGCCGTCGGTGGCCTCAGGTAAGCGCAAGTTTGGCTCCTCAGTGTCAGGCAGCAAGGCACGTGCGCTTTCGGCTAAGGCGCCTTCCAAGGCCTCTGGTTCAGGCTCTGTGCAATCGTGCCGTCCTTCGGTTCGACAGGCCGCCTCCAGCAGTGCTCGCACTGGCAACGTTCCGAAGGGCCGCTCTCGCACGCCTTTGGTGGCCACTGCCTCGCAATGTGGTGGTTCGGCACAGGTGTCTTCCTCTGCAAAGGCGCCAGGTCTGCAGGCACCTGCCTCTGACAAGGACAGGCCGCTTGCTTGGCCCTGTCCACACTGCGGTTGGAGGGCTGAGGGTTTACGACTCGGCAGGTAACTAATGCTAAGTATAAGCATCTGCAGCGGCATCACAAGGGCCGGCGAACACCCACGAGGCATGCTCAGAGCCAGTGGGTTGAGGCGCAGCTTGGAGTTGGCAGTGGCCCAGGTGAATGGATGTGTGGGCTCTGCTCAATGGGCTTTCCTAAGCTTGAGGGTTATGTGCACCAGAAGAGCATTACGGAGCACCTCAACCGGCACCACGGGGGTTGCTCTGCTCTCGAGGCTAACCGTGCTTTGCTTGCTTCCACTGGGGCAGTTGTGGTCGGACGGCGCTCGGCTCAGGGCTGCAACCACCTGGTCAGGCGCCACCGTGCGCAAAGGTCGTTGGCTGAGGGCCTCGAGGCTTGGGGACACAAGGTTGTCTTTGTGCCAAAGGCTAAGGCGGCTAAGGGCCGTAAAGGGCACCCCGGCAAAACTTGCTGGACTTGCCGTGTGTGCGCTCAGATGTGGGAGACGGTTCCTCAGCTCCAGAGGGCCGCGTCTGCTGGACGGTGTCTTGGCAAGGCTGGTCGGGCCGTTGGCTTGAAAACTAAGGCTTGGGCCGTTTTCTGGAAGTGCAATCGTGACAGGCGACCGGCTCTTGCTGCGGCTTGGGGCCTTAACGCTTCTGAGAAACGCGGGCTGACGCGCCGTGCGAGTCAGGCTGTGGTGCCGCAGCGTTCGCGGTGCGTGCGACGCAAGGGCCCCGGGGCCTGGGAGCGTGACTTCACTGAGGATGGGGATGTTGAATCTCATCCGGGTCCGAGCAGCCTTTTTCTGCAACACTGTGCCGCCCGCCCGTTTCCCGCTAGTTCCCCTTTTGGTTTAGGCCCCTGGCTAGGTGGACACTCTGGCTCCCAGTTGTGGGTTCGGGACCTTACGCAGGATGGTGATGTTGAGCCGCACCGCCTCTCGGCTTAGCCTCGTCAGCTTCAACGTTGCCAGTGCTGGATCGGCCTTTTGTGTGCTGCATCAGCTGGCGGATGCGGGGATAGACGCCTGTGGCATGGCTGAGTGTCGTTTGTCCCCACGGCAAGCGCGTCAGTGGCAGAAGGTTGCGGCTCAGCGCGGTTACCGCTCGTGGGTGCTGCCAGGGCGCCTTGTGGTGGACGCGCTCGGCCGCCGCTCGTATCATAACGGGTTGGCAGTGGCCGTTAAGGCGAGCCTCGCCTGCATTGAACTGCAGCGCCACCAGGGGCCGGCAGGCGAGTTCATCCTCTGCGAAATCAGCGGTCGTGCGGTGGTTTTCTTGTGGCAGAAGCCTGCGGCTGTCTCCGACGGCGGGCTCTACTCGAGTCTCCAGGATCTTGCGGTGCTCCACCCTGATCTCGTGTGCGTTGGAGACTGGAATGATGAGCCGGGTGAAAATCGGCTGGCTGCTCAGGGCTGTACTGTTGTCGCGGCTGTTGGCGCCGACGGGGAGTACTTGCCTACGAGGGCTGGGGGCCAGAGGACGATTGACTATCTCCTCTCCTTTGGGCCGGTTGAAGGCCGCTCGCGTCTCCGCGAAGAGGCCTACAGCGATCACTGGGGCTTCGAGTGTCGCTGTACTTGGCAGCATGCTGTTAGGGAGCCTCTC